TAAGACATCTCTTACCATTTAATAATAAATCAATAAAAAGATATCTTCCTTGCGGATCAGAGTCAATTAATTTCGGTGATAAATCTTTTCTCACATAAATAACTACTCCTCCTTTTTCCTGCGGAGCAGAAGCTATAAAATGTGATCCCAACCAGGAGTTAATCAAATATTTTTGATCCTTTGAAACAACATGAGTCTCTTGCAAACATACAACATCATTCTTATGTTGTTTCAAATAGTGAAATACTTTCTTTCTTTTCTGTGGTGAATTCAAACTATTAACATTCCATGTCAGAAACTTTGCCATTTTTAGTGGCCTGAAGCCTTCGGAACACTGCATGCAAATCTGCAGTCGAAGATCTCTTCGGTCTTGTCCTTCCCACTGGCTCTGAGGTAGTCAAGTGTGTTGTAGATCCATCATCCAATTTTTGCTGCTCTTTTTCTTTATGTCTATAAGCTGCATGAGTCATTCTCTGTTCCTTTGGATCATCTCTTGTCTCCAAACACTGTTGCATGGATTCAACCTGCAATTCTTCTCTTACTAATGACATTGCACCTTCAGCCAACTGTACTTGAAGCTTCCCTTCAATTCTTAGATAATGGAGATGGAGGTGCACCTGCCTTCAGAACTCATAGAAATCTCTTGCTTTTAAAATTGTGTTAAGTCTATAATGTGTCCCAACATAATTCACTACTATTACAACAGGTACCTCCCATCTAAACTGAATCTGTCATTTTTTAAGCTCCTCAGCCAAAAAGGCAAAGTCCTTTCTTTTTCTAAGAATTTTTGGAGGTATTTTAAAATTATAACATCTTGAGCTGCAATTTGAAATCTCTGCTTATAAAAGGCTTGTATAATTTCATTACTAAGTGATTTTCTAGAAAAATAAATCACCACATCTCTTGGTAAGTTTCTCTGTTTCCCAATCCATGAATTAACCCTGAAATTTTTTTCTATCTCTTTCAACATTTCTTCAGATTCACATCCCAAAATGGAGGCTAATTCTGCTGCAATTTCTTCTTTCAGATTCTCTTGCAAATTCTCCTTCAAACCTCTTATTCGCAAAGCATATTCCATATCTCTATATTGTGACATAATAATTTCATTCTGTGCTGTATCAACATCATTTTCAACTTTTCCAACTCTGTCTTCTAATTTTTCAACACTTTCCACCACATTGTCCACACGCTCATCAAGTCGTTCTAGATGGGCTGCCAGCCCCTGAAGAGCCAGCAGTATATCTTCTTTCATCTCTCTATTTTTCTCCTCAAAAAGCTCTGCCGTCTCATGTCTAATCTCTTGTGCTGTTTTTTCCAAAGCATCCTGTAAATCTTTAAGTGTGAATGCCGGTGGAGGAGGAGAGGGTGGGGGAGATTTTGGCTTTAGATTACTGTACAGTCTGAATTACCGGAGAAGAAATTGAGTCTTTAGGAAGAGAGGAAATTCCAGGGTGTTTTGAAGCCATTTTAAAACTTTTTTTTTTAAAAGAGTAAAAGGAGGGGATAGTTTAAAAAAAAATCCCCCCCAAATGAGAAAAAAGAAGCTTACTCTTTAAATAAATAAAATCTGTTACATTGTTTAAACTTTGTTGCCAGATGAAAGTGAAAGTTTTTCTTAGCAATGTCCTTTCAGGCAAAAAAACGGCATTCCTCCGCCATTTTTTTCCTTTCTCCTTTCTCCTTTTGTTAAAGTAATAAGAGGAGAAGATACTTTGATTATTTTGAGTTAAAGTCCCAAACTCTCACAATCTTAATCCTCCTGGTCAGCTCCATCTGCTTATAATTACTCACATATCACTTTAGACAGCAGATGTGGAAGCAGCATCTGGCTTCATTCCAAAGAACAAAGGCGTCCTGGGATGCGGAGACAATCCAGACTCCGAGCGAGTTCTTCCCCTTCATCCTCCCAAAAACAAAATTAATGGAGAACTAGGGGAACTCGACCTCTATCTGGAAAAGCTCACCTTCTTCCCTTCTCCTGGATGACAGGTTCAAGCTGCGGAACAGCTGATGAGTGCTGTCTCTGCCGGCTTTAATGCATTCCCAGGTTGGACGGCTAAAAGAAAGCTGCCATTGACATGGTAATCGCCACTGGAAGTCCCCTGAATGTTACTTAAATCTCATTGATTCAGCCTCTGGAATATCCTTGGTAGGGGGGAAGTATAAGGAATCTTGCTTCTTTTGCAGATGTATATTTGTATCTTTATCTATTTGTCTATCTATCATCTAAGTCTATCTATCGCTTGAGCTCTCTATCTATTTCCTGGAGCAATAGGGAGAAATAGCAGCTGTGGTGGAACAATACTGTACTAGACAGAATTTATGTGTAATGTAGCAATATAATTTAAATGATTTTAGGATCAAACACAAAACATTTTTTCACATTCAAAAGAAGATAAGACCCTCATGAAATGTTTTTTTTTCCGTGTTATTTTGTTCATTTCTAATTTATCAGTTAACCTATGGGTATCCATGTTATTTTGGTTCAAGTGCTGCCGCTAGCATTGTCCATCCTATTGAGGGTAGAAAATGCCATATCATAATGGGACCAACATTACAAGTATTCTTGATAGTGTGCAATTAATAATTTAAGAGATGAAATCTCAGCAATTGTTAATTCTAACTCTGGCCATTTATTCATTTATTTTGTTTCAAAAAGAAGAAAATGCCAAATTTTAGGAATTTGTCTATCATGGAGAACTATGGGTTGGCAACTTTTATAAGTTTTGTTTTTTCTGTCATTTTTCTAAGCAGATAAATGTCATGTGGAAAAACAAAAACAAAGAAAATTCCTTACACATTTTTCCTGATCAAATCAGGAGAAGGTGGTACACTGAAATTTGTTCTGTAGCATTGAAGGAAGCTAAGAGGAAGTACTTCTCCAATGATAAATTCTCCCTACTGAAAATTTTCCTGAGTTTTCAGAAAGAAGTTACTTACTCTGCATTTCTTAGAGGTACTCTGTGTATCAGGAGGAGCAGAAAGTTTCTTTTTTTTTTCCAGCTGAAGTTTTATTGAATGACAGCTGAGAATTCTTTAAAAATCATTGGACATCTCTTTAGGATTTTGTATGTATCTACTGAATGTATCAGACCATACATTCTGATTGTCCTGATGCTTCTGAGAACATCCTTAGCCTCATTGTTTTTTTTAAATATTTTTTTTTATTTTTCCAAACTCTCCCCCATACATATACTGTGATATTTATCAGATGTTAACATACATTCTTTTTACATTCATATATAAGATACTTTTAATAAAATGAAATAAATACATACACATGACTTTTGGTGTTGCTCGCCCATTTCCCCTTTCACTTTATCCACACTCCTTCTTCTCTACCTTCTTTCTCCCTTTTTTCTCTTCCCTACTTCCCTCTTCTTCCTCTCCTCTTCTCTTTCCTTCACCACTCTCCTCCCCTTTCTCCCCACTTCTCCTCTTCTCTTCCAACCTTCCTACTCCCTTCCCCCCTCCTTTACTCTTTTCTCTCTCCTCTCCTTTCTTCCCTCTCATCCCTCTTCAGATACAATTCGGGGGTAATGTCCGAGCAACTCCTCTCTCCAAATTTCCCTATCTGTATTATATACAATAAGATTAATTTTCTCTTACATTAATACTTCTATTTATCTAAACTTCTCGGTATATACTTCCATAAATATTTATACAATCTCCAGTTATTCAATGCCTGGGTCTCCCTCTTTATCAGGAGCAGAAAGTTTCTTATTGACACTGTGAGGCAGAAGTGCAAGTAGCATTATCAATAACAGTACCATTTTGTGGACAAATCCATCATTCCAAGCACATATTCCACTGTCCTTTTTAACTCCCTTCACTTTGTGTATATCCATTTATTCCAACTTGCTCAAGTTTTGTAGGTTTAGATTAAAATTGGAGATAAGCAGTTAGTCAAATTATATAATTGTTAAAGCAAACCTCCAATAAGCTTGGACAATGGTGGACTTTTTGCAAAACATCTGAGCATTAAAGAAGAGTTTTATAATCAGTGACTGAAATAGTTCTTCTTCTTTCTGGGCTTTAGAAATTCCTTGGGTGTTGTGGGCAGGAATTCTGTCGCCTCCTCCTCCTCCTCCTCCTCCTCCTCCTCCTCCTCCTCCTCCTCCTCCTCCTCCTCCTCCGCTGCTGCAGCCCAATTGCCTTTTGAAAAACACCTTTGAGATAATTATGACCTCAATGACTGAGAATCTTCATAGATATTCCCCTACTGAAAGGAGCCTCAAAACCAGTTCAAATCAGATCCAGCTCAGATCTGAGGCCGGGATGTTATATGTTTTAAAGCTAGTTTTAAGCCTTCCCATTTGTTTAGAAATATTCTTTCCTGAATTATAGAAAGAACAATTGCAACAATGGAATTGCTTTATTTCTTATCTTTATTTATTTAACTTGGATTGTAATTCTTGTGACACAATGACATGAGTCACTTAAGAGAAAAATTGAGAAATTTTAGTATCTTTTCCTTGTGGAACATTTTGAGGCTGATAGTGATTTTGGATGAACATAGTTAATATATGCATTAATACAATTACTTTTCAGATAATCTATTTCAGATTGGAAAGATCGGGGGAACACCTTGTTGAAGTTCTAATCCTTGTTCCCTCTCCATAGTTAGTGTTGCCTGAGGAGATCTGTTATCATAAATAAACTTTTGCACTGCATTGAAATCACATAAAACAAACGATCACAAAACAAACCATAAATCAATATTATACAGATACATTGTCCATCTTTTTTATATTTTATGGACCACGTCTATTATCTTACACCTGAAGAAGGTTCACACAGTCACAAGAAAACTTTATTATACAAACCAGAAAACATTTTTTCATGGAATAATGAATAAAGATATTATTTGTTATCTTTCCCTTTTGAATATATCTCAGTCTTTTCATTTGGCAAATTAATCCGACCCAACAAGCAAACAAATGTCAAGCTGGATGAGAAATCTTGAATCTTCCCATTTCTTTTATTAAGTGTTCTTATAATCAATTTCTACAGACCACATTTTTCCTTGTTAGATGATCCTTCTTATTCATTTCAGGCCTCAGGACAATTATGTAACACTTAGGGAGGAAAATGCAACCAAGTAATCCAGCACTGGAACTTAGTAAAGCAAAGATTTCCACAGCAACCATATATTTTCCCTTCGAGCTTAAGTATGTTGGAACAAAAGATAGCCAAACATTGCAAAATACTAACATGCTGAAAGTGATGAATTTGGCTTCATTGAAACTATTGGGCAACTTCCTGGCTAGGAAAGCCATAATAAGGCTGACAATAGCCAGAAACCCTAGATAGCTCAGAATACAATAAAACATAACAACTGAACCTTTGTTACACTCAAATATAATTTCTTCAGTCAAGGAGATCAAGTCCATATCTGGGTAAGGGCAAGCTACACAAAGCCAGGAAATACAAATTCCTATCTGAATTAGGGAGCTGAAAAGGACAATGTAATTTGACAATTTTTTCCCTACCCATTTCTTTATCGTTGATCCTGGCTTAGTGGCCATAAAAGCCAGAACTACAGTGATGGTTTTTGCCAATACACAAGAGATAGCTACTGAGAAAACGATAGCAAAAGCTATTTGTTGTAAAGGGCAGATCACTTCCCCAGGATGGCCAATAAATAGCAATGACGAGAGGAAGCAAAGCAGAAGGGAAATTAAGAGAAGATAAGAAAGATCCCGATTGTTGGCTTTGACAATAGGAGTATTCCTGTGCTTAATAAAAATTCCAAGCACTGCAGTTGTGAGCAGAGCAAAAAAACAAGCTGAAAGGGCTAAACTGATACCCAAAACATCATCATAAGACAGAAAGATTAAACTCTTTGGCAGGCATTTATCTTGAGGTCTGTTAGGATACTGATCTTCTGGGCACTTGAAACAGTCATCCATATCTGAAGAATAAAACATTACATTCCAAAATCTGTTAGTTATTTAATTTACACAGATCTTCCTATAGTCAAGATTATAGAAAGATTTAGACTGGAGCCTCACAATACTCTACAGGCTTTTCTCTACAGAATTTAAGATAAACAGCTAGGAGGCCTGGTAACTATAAGTCATTCATCTGAGCATAATATAATTCACACTTATCACACTAGGATATTCACTCTTTTCTCAGCATGGTCTAATTTTTTTTTTAAATGGAGATGTTCAAGACTGTGCATATTAAGAGAAAATAAATAGGTCAGTGAGTATGTGTCTAAATAAGTAGGTCAAAAATATACCAGGATAAATATTTTATTTATTTATTTCTTTAAATTTGTTTGCTTCTGATCTCTACAAATTATAAAGAGTTTTTATAAAACATTTTCAAACTGATAAAAAAATAAGAGTGGAATGAAATTGTCTTTAGAAAAATGAGACAGGGCACAATCAAAATGCATTTTCTTTGTAAACCAAAAGATGAAATTGGCATGTTACAATTTATAGAATAAATATGGTCACTTATCTTGAGACACTGTTGAGTTACACTCATTACTGTTTGAAAGTTATAAACTTTGTCAGTGTTTCCTTTATTTATTTACTTATTAAATTTATTTGCCTCCCATCACCATGATATTTAATTCCAAAGGCATCTAAACTGTAATTTGTACTAGAAATAAAGAAAACAGTTTTGTTTTCTATTTTTATGTAAAATAAGGACAAACAACTCATTTGTGGCTAAAGTTATCCTTAACCTTTTTAGAACTATCATGAGTGGAGACATATTAAACATGTGGTTAAGATTGGAAAAAGAAATATTTGCATATTTTCTTTCTTTTCTTTTAAAACCATAATGTACCTAGTTTATAGTTTATACTCCAGTTTTCATGTAATTTTAATCTCAGATTGAAAAATAGTACTGTTAACTTTTAGCAACTATGGTCAGAGGTGCAGATATGCAATCGAAGGACCTGAAATTTCATAACCTATTTATAAAACAATTATTTTATATTACATTCATAAATAAAAGTGTATGAAAAAAATACTTTAATTTCCAATCAAGTTATATTGTGTTTGCATATATAATTAATTAGAACTATTGTTTCATTGTGACACATTTCCCACTGTTAGTTGCTTATGGATTTTTAATAAAGCAATTATGGAATATATATATATATATATATATATATATATATATATATATATATATATGTCTTTGGTTGTTCAGGTTTTCTCCCGCGTAAAATTGGAAGTGTCTTGGCGACGTTTCGACGAAGTCCCATTCGTCATCTTCCCATTCGTCATCCTCAAAGCATGAAGCTAAAAACACCAGCCTGAAGATGACGAATGGGACTTCGTCGAAACGTCGCCAAGACACTTCCAATTTTACGTGGGAGAAAACCTGAACAACCAAAGACCTACATACAAACACCCGCGAAAACCTCAGAAAACATATATATATATATAACTTTGATCCATAATAATCCCTACAAATAAAAAGTAAAAGAAGCCTTAAATTTGTTTTTGTATATCCCACCAATTTCTTCATTTCTTCCAGTATGGAATTTCCTAGAGATCCTCCCCCACCATGTTCCCTCTTAAATCCTTTGAATTACATGTCTTTCATGAAACAATAGGAAGTTCTTGAATACTTTGTGTGATGTGTTCTTATTATAATCTTTTGAGTCAGACTTAACTCCTGGTGACCCCAGGAACAATTTCATGCGGGTTTCTTGGTAACATTTTCCTAGCACACAGAAGAATGACTGATCCAACCATCAGACTTTCATGCCTAAAGTGGGAATGGAGCTCACAGTCTTTCAGGTTCTTTCGGGTTCTAATCCAGCACCCTAAACCATTATACCAAAATGTCTCTTAATAAAAGGAAAGGAAGAATTCTTACCATTCTGATTTGAGATCTTTCCAGCTGGACATGGAATACAGTCATAGCAACAATATGGCTTCCCTTCTTGCTTTTTCCTGCTATAACCTGGATGACAGTTTTCATTGCACACAGCAGATGGTGGCACCTATGTATACATAGAAAACTGTAGAAGTTTACTAATTCTTGAAACAGTATTTGGTCCTTATGTCATGTGGGAATGCTCTTATTTTGGCATGCTCTGGCATTATCTATGTGCTTTTATTTATTTGACCCTTCCTTCTTTCTCTCTTCTACCTTAAGCTCTTCTAAATATATTTCTGGTACACTGGCATCCCAAGTGTCAATTGAATCCTTCAGATACAGTATTCCTTCCACTTCATTCTTGAACCTGCCTCTGCAAATCTCTCTTTCCATAACCAGGATTTCCTATTCCTAATAGCTGCTGTGACAGCTGATAGAAAAGCAAGTATAGTGAACAATTATCAAATTTGGAGCCCTGTTTTATGATTTGGTGAAAAAAATACAATCAAACTATGGTTCCTGAAATGCTTTCCCAGGTCTCTTAGTATTTCTGCCTTAATAGAATCTTCTCATTCTCTTGCCTGAACAATTTATAATTTTGTGTAAAAATAAATTTAGTAGGTGAATATGAAGTATAAGGACTAAAGCACTGAATGAATTTGAGTAGTACTGTTCTTGAATCCAAACTTTTATTGATGGATGTTGAAATTCACTCTGATGCTAATAAGTACAATGCTTTTTCCACTATATTAAAAATAACCTCTAAATCAATATGTGATTGTATCTCTCTGTCTCTGTCTCTGCTCTGTCTCTGTCTCTGTCTCTGTCTCTGTGTCTGTCTTTGTCTCTGTCTCTGTCCCTCTTCTCTCCTCTCCTCTCCTCTCATCTCATCTCATCTCTTTCTCTATCTAGAGAGCCATGATGGCACAGTGGTTAGAATGCAGTCCTGCAGGCTAATTCTGTTGACTGCCAGCAATTCAATTCTCACCAGCTCAGGGTTGACTCAGCCTTCCATCCATCTGAGGTTGATAAAATGAGGACCCAGATTGTTGGGGCAATATGCTGATTCTGTAAACTGCTTAGAGAGGGCTGTAAAACACTGTGAAGTGGTATATTTGTCTTTTTATCTTTCTACATCTCTCTCTCTCTCTCTCTCTCTCTCTCTCTCTCTCTCTCTCTCTCTCTCTCTCTCTCTCACACACACACACACACACACACCCCTCTCTCATCTATCTATCTATCTATCTATCTATCTATCTATCTATCTATCTATCTATCTATCTATCTATCTATCTATATCTTTCTTCTATATTTAATTTCTATGCTGCCCATCTCAAAATGACACTGGAAAGCATAGAAATTTATTTATTTTATGATCCACAGTTGTTGCTGTGTATTCCTCTTGTTTCTTGTAACCCACTTCCCCATCAGTGTTCACCATACCTGCTTATACTTGCTTCCTGATCTGAAAAAAAAGCAAAGTGTTCTCTTATAACCAGAATAAGCAATTGTTAAGGTCTACGTAATCTTCTAGCACACAGTCTCAGATGCTGAAATTTGCTGCAACACCCCTCCAAGTTTGACAGTATCCCCCTCCCAATATTAATAGTGAGAAAGAAAGAATGAAGTCTTTCAGAACCTTGTGGAAACCCGCAGAGCAGAGGAGAGTTCTGTTATAATAAAACATGGGACACACATACTGTATATCCTGAGTATGTGATACCCTGTGAGAACTTCACTGAAGTTTTATTTGCCTTTGAAAAATACTTTGAAAGCTGTTTATTGTCAATCAAAATTTAGAATAACATATTTTATAAAACCACCACTTCATTAACTATTATTAGTAGCATTCACCCACTCTACTGTATATGCTAAAGGATAAATGCCAAGCATCAATTTTGCAATACCTTCCCCATTTGAATTTATATTTTAGAACATAATTTGGTCTAACCTTGTTAAACTCTTTGTGCCATACGATAAGATCTTCATTAATGATGAATGGTTTGCTGGATGAAGCCTCTGAATCAATCCTTCCAACCCTGATATTTGAAAAGGATTTGTTTGGAAAACCAATCAAATTTGTTATGTCATAACCGGATCTTAATTCACCATTTTCATTGAAAGATATATGGTCCCCAACATTGTTATTAAATGAGATTCTGCTCAGGAAATGATGCAGCTGATTTGGAAAAAATAAAACATTCAGAGTTTGGTAGACAATTATTTCTTTGGTTGCTCTTATGCTTATCTTATGGAGCTGTCTCTGATTCTGTCTACCTCTATAGCTCTATGTGTCACAACATGTGCCTCACTAAAAATTGCTTGCTGATCATCTGCTCTTGTAGAAATGAAGAATCTAAAGCTCTATAATGGAAATTGATGGAATGCAGTTTGTAATAATATCAGCAAGCATAACTCATGGTGAGGTCTGATGGGAGTTTTGGTTCTTCTACATAAGAATGGGAACAGAAGTTCCCCATTTGTATTTTGTATTTTGTATCACATCCTGCAGCATCTATTATTTCATCTATCATTTATTATTCATGCAGGAGAGTTAACTACAGAACAGCATACGAATCAGAAAATAAAGAAATACTCCTTAATAAATAGGGCACTTTGAATGTTTTCTTACCTTCCAAGGTTCTAGATTCAGAAACTCCACTCTTGCTCTATCTATAGTTGGTTTCAGCCTAAATCTGGATGATTTCAAGTTATGTAAAACATGAGCAATGGCATAGACAGAATTGTAGATGCTGTAACTCTGACCAGTCATACTTATTTGAAAAAAAGACTTTGGTAGGTTTTCTAGACTTCCGTCCCAACCACATTCTTTTTTGTTTTCCTGGTGCATATTAAAACAGGGTATCAAACATTCCCTCTGCCAAATGAACGTGGAAATGCCATCTTCTTTTGGCCAATGTACATTAAGGAGCTCAAGGAAAGGCGGAAATCCTGGTACTTCATTAATTTGAATGGCAAAGGATAAAGCACCGTGGAAAATTTCTATCCCCATCTTTTTGAGAAATGTTGGTGATCCAAAGTCCCAATGAGCTGTGATAATCCACACTTTGCCTAAACTTACTTCTCCCAACTGCAACATATTTTTGAAGCTCCACATTGTCTGAGTATCTGAATACATGACAATTACATTGGTTGTCATATTTTGGAGAAAATGGGTCATACTTTGAATGTGCTGTGTCAAATGAACAACATGAACTAAATCAATTAAAGGTTGTATTCTTCCTATGAAAGCTGCACAGATTCCATTCTGGGAAAACATTGATAGCATAATTGCCATAACCTTCTCTCCTTTATCTGACTTTGTTACAATAATTCCAACCCAAGTCCATTGGAAATGAAGGAGCAACTGAACAATTCCATGAAACTGCTGTGCTTCACCAGGAACCATACGATAGAAGTAAGGTATCCTGTTTTCAGCATCCTTCTCTATAGCAAAAAAGCAATAAGCAACCTAAGTTAAAAAGAAACATTTTTTTAAAAAAATTGGGTAAACAATTTATCTTATAAATTCTCCTATAGAAATCTACAAATTAAAATTCATGCAAATTAAACATATCATTTAATTATTATTATTTTTTTTATTGAAAGTTTTATAAATTTTACAAAAAGACAAAAACAATACAAAACAAAAGACAACATATACAAAAAAGAAACTAAACATTACATATATATATATAAAAAAAAACCCCATCCCCCACCCCTCACAAAAACCCTCCCTTCCCCCCCCGAGCTTCCCAGAGCAGAATATAGGCTTAATTAAAAATTAAGAAATAAAAATAAAAAATTAAATTAAAAAATCATTTAATTATTATAATGCTGTTGTATATTTCTATTTTCTTAGTAAATTAATAACAATGCAGTATTTTGTTATGTTTCTGATATTAAAAAAATAGAGTTAAAAGGTGATTTGAACTGGAGTGCTTCTCTTTTATAATTTGTGATAGTTTTCTATGTTTTATCTTGACTATTAAATCAAATACAATAATGGTAAAGCATTTTTATGTTGCTTGGTTTTACTTTCTTCCCATGAAGGTGGAGAACATGTACGTGTGTGTGTGTTCCCGTGCACCTGGGTGCACATGTATGTGTGTGTATTATTTTATAACTATGCTTACAATTCTAGTTCTCCACCTTCAGGGGAAGAAAAAAGTACAACTCTCTTCATTTTCTTTCATTTGTAATCATAAAGCATTTTTATAAGTAATATTTAGTTTCTTGAGGGCACACAACTGAATGAATATTTGGGGAAAAAAATCTGACTTGAATCTTTCGAAGGGTCACTGTTACATTTTTCATGCATTTGAAAACTACAGAATAAATGTAATATGAGAAACCAAAACAAACCTTGACTGAGTATAGAGAAGTGTATATTTATTTAAATGTTTTAAAAACATGTATAATGTATGTATATTTGTATTTGTAATATTTGCCATTCATGTATATGAACCTGAAATCTCTTTAGAATTTTCCATTTTTATAAATAAGCCATTAAGAGAATTTTAATAGTGTTGAGTCCTTGGATCAACGGCGAATGAAGAAAAGACATTCTGCTCATTACAACAGCCTTTATTCAACAGTTCTCTCTCCGTCACAGCTCTCAGGCTCACAGGTCTCTCAGACTCCTTTTAACAACGTCCCCGAGCAGAATGGTAACAATTAGGCGCGCTCCGAGCCTTGCACATGCGCGTGAAGCCGGCGCCAGCTAGTCTGGTCCCGGGCAGCTTGCAACTGCCTGGGACCATTGCAATGTCCCGAGCCTGCCTTTGCAGGCTCAGGACACAACACCCCTTCCCCCCTGGATGAGACTTATTAACTATATAGGTAGTTATACACGACCTCAACATGAGTGTGGTGTGCCAATCCAAACCTGCACATCTATTGCAGCTGTGCAATACCCACACCACAAATGGTACCGGGCTATAGTTCTGGGATTAATACCCAATGCCCATACTTCTATTTTCCACAACAACAGGCACCCTCTCACTTTTTCTGCTTTGCCAGCAGGGTTACAAAGTCCTCAAGATACTTGGGAGATCTTTTTACTCTCTGTGACCTCCTTAGATTCTGAGAATCCCCTACTTCCTCTTGTACAGAGGATGACGTGGAGTTACCCCCTCTTTCAAACCCTGGTGGTCCCCGTGAACTGTGCCCCGTTGCCTGGTCTGCTTGCTTGCCCACCGGGCTCGTCAGACCAGGACTTTGCTCCCCCATGAACCTGGTTGACCTGCCTAACTGTAGGCTCTCGGGCCCCTCTGTAAGCCTGCCACTCTTTGGCATTTCTGTAGAGCCCTCCAAGCCCACAATGGACCTATCAAGGGAACGCATCCCTTCACTCCCAAGCCCCGTAACGGGATTGTCTGGGGTTTCTGCAGTGCCCCAAAACTCAATTGCCCCCCAATCTATGCCGGAGGTGCCAGAATTGGGATTTGCCTCTCCGACCACCTCCCTGTGTGAAGGCTTCCTTCTGGAAACAGTAGCAGTACTGGGCCAGCTTGACTGTTTGTGTGCCAGCTCTCTTGCAATGTTCGGGTTATTAGGATGCTCCCGGTTATTCTCCCTGAATGGAGTGCTGAATGGTAGTTGTGAATGATGAGTATGCCCCCTGGGTGACTCCCTGGCTGGAGTAGGCACTGGTGCCTGTGTGATTTCTTGTTCCCTTGAATTCCTGTTTGGAACACTTGCGGAACCTTGGAACAGGCTGTCTGTGGCTTCTCTGTTTGGCCCCGGCTACTGCCAACACGCTTCCCTTTGCCCATAGTGGTTCCCCTCCCCCCTGGAGAAAACCCAGGAGTTCCAGAGGGTAAGTCCAGTCTCGTACGCAGCTGATAGATATGCCGCCGAAGGACACGACCATCGTCCAAGGAGACCTCGTATGACAAAGGGCCAGTAACCTTGCATACTATGGCAGGAACCCACAAGTGACCAGGCCCATAGTTCTGGGTCCTTACGGGGGCACCCACTTACAGTTACCGCAGTGCCCTGGGTTGGGTGACATCAGGAGGCAGTCTATGCGGGTGCAACCTGTCAAGTTTGGTGATCAGTTTGCGCCTCCAATGGAGTTCAGCTGGGCTCTTCCCAGTGGAAGTTGAAGGTGTGGTGCGGTAAGGAAGAAGAAAGTCTGCCAACCTGTGGTGCCAGTCTCCATAGATCAGTTTCTTTAAAGCATCCTTGGTGATGCGGACCATCCGTTCAGCCATACCGTTGGTGGAAGGGTGGAATGGTGCAGAGGTGGCATGACGAATCATGTTGGCCTGTAAGAAAGCTTGAAACTTGAAAGAAGTGAATTGAGGACCATTGTCAGACACCAGGACGTCAGGGAGCCCATGTGCAGCAAAAATCCCCCTCAGTACTTGAATGGTCTTGGCAGCAGTGGTTGAAGAGACAGGTACAATCTCAAGCCACTTTGAATAGCTGTCAACAAGGACCAAGAAGAATTGACCCTGAAAGGGCCCAGCATAATCAATGTGCACCCTAGACAAAGGTGACTGTGTTTCCTCCCATCTATGTACAGGAGCCTGAGGCATTTCTGGGCGTGAGCGCTGACACAAATGGCATCCGTGCACCTGAGCCTCTACTTCCCTGTCTAACCCTGGCCACCACAAATGGCTGCACACAAGTGCCTTCATTCTGACAATGCCAGGATGGCCCTCATGAAGGGAAGCCAAGACCCTAGGCCTCATTGAGGTAGGAATAACAACTTTGCTGTCCCACAGTAGACAGCCTGAAAAGTGGATAACTCATGTTTCTTAAGCCAGAAACTCTGAAACTCAGTACCTTGACAACTCTCTGGCCATCCAGATAAAACCCAGGACAATACACGAGTGAGTGTGAGGTCCATGGCTGATTCAGCAGCCACATCCCTGGCATTTAAAGGCGACTCAGGCAATGCCTGAATGGAAAGGATGTTGATAGCAGGGGCAGGGTCAGCCTCTACCATTTGTAAGGGTAATCTGCTAAGGCCATCAACATGGCCCATTTCCTTGCCAGGTTTGTGAACCAGAGAAAAGTCATAGGCTGACAGAAAGATGGACCATCTCAGCATTCTGGGGGAGATGATGTGGGGGGTTTGTTTGTTTGTAGTAAACAACCCCAACAGAGGCTTATGGTCAGTGTAGACCGTGAAGTGTCTGCCATATAGGAAATCATGGAATTTTTTAATTCCAGCAACAATGGCCAAGGCTTCTCTATCTATCTGAATGTAGTTTCGCTCAGCAAAAGACAAGGTTCTGGAGTAATATGCAACAGGAACCTGAGTTCCATCAGGTCTTAGATGGCTAAGTACTGCTCCCACCCCATATGGGGAAGCATCACAAGCGATGCACACAGGAAGAGTTTCATTAAAATGTGCAAGCACATCATTTGATGTAAGTAAGGCCTTAACCTCATTGAAGCTTGCTTCATGTGCTTGTGACCAATGCCACACTGCCTGTTTGTCCAAGAGCCGATGAAGTGGCTCAGCTACATTAGCTTTGTTAGGTATGAATGAATTGTAGAAGTTCAAGTGGCCCAGAAAAGCTTGTAATTCAACTTTAGACTTAGGCCTAGGAGCCTGCAGGATAGCCTTTAATTTAGACTCAGCAGGGTCAATACCCTTGGCATCTATTCTGAATTCCAGGAAATCTGTAGAAGACACTCCAATTTTGCATTTGTCTTTTTTAAGCTTGAGGCCTTATTTCCTGAAACGCAGCAGAACAGCCCTCAACCTCTCAGCTAAATTTTGAGTGGATTCTCCTGCTATTAGGACACCATCAAAATAAGGGCCAAACCCCTTGTATACCCTTCAGGGTGTTTTCCATTACGCTTTGGAAAATTCCAGGAGCCACATTTATTCCAAATTGTAGTTTTTTGACTTTGAATGCCCCCCTATGAGTTACAATAGTTTGTGCTTCAGCAGCAGCTTCATCAACAGGTAACTGTTGATAAGCCTGTGCTAAATCCAGCTTTGCAAAAACACGCCCCCCCCTTTGAGGGAGGCTAAAATGTGGCTGACTACAGGTACAGGATATGCATGCTATTGCAAAGCCTTGTTTAGAGTGCATTTGTAATCTGCACAGATGCGAATGTCCCCATTAGCCTTGAGAGGCGTGACTATGGGAGTTTCCCATGGACTGAAGTCCACAGGTTCCAAAACACCTTGCTGAATCAATTTGTCCAATTCAGCATCAATTTTTCCTTTCAAAGCAAAGGGTACTCTCCTTGCTTTTACTCTGATAGGAGTGACAGTGACAGTGGGGTCCAGTTTCAAGGAAACTGGGGGGTCTTTGTATGTTCCCAGCTGAGGGCTGAAGACATCTGCAAATTCTTTGCAGACTTCTTGTAGACCTAATGTTTGCAAATTGTGTAGCCCTGTAACTTGGATTCCCAAAGCCTCAAACCAATCGAGTCCAATGAGACTCCTTCTTTCACCCCCAACTACCAATGTACAACACAAGGATTTTGAAATCCTCAAAATTCTTATGTTGTACATTAAGGGTGGCCTCCCCCTTAACACACACCTTGGAATTTTGGAAGTCTGTCAAGACTATATTGGATGGCCTAAGCTTGGCTTGGAACCCACTGCTAGAGCAAATCTTTCTGAAAGTGTGAACAGAAATTATTGAAAGGGCAGAGCCAGTGTCCAGTTCCATAACTAATGGAACTCCCTGTAACTTCACCTTAAGTGACAGTTTCTTTTTAAGTGGCCTGTGTATGCCTGTCCTATAAATGCTTCTACGTGATGCACAGAAACCCACCCTGTTTTGGCTGGGGACCCTGATACCTTTCAGGCGCAATTCTTCTCGGGGTTGTACCTTCTGACAGCCCAGACACACAGCTGCTATGTGGCCGTGCTTTCCACATGCTCTACAGATTGCAGAACGGAACCTGCAGTCGATCCTCCTGTGGCAACCTCCACACCCGAAGCACTTGGGTACAGCTGAAGAATTTTCTTTGCCTTCCTTCTTTTTCCTTTCTCTGGCTGGGTAGAGATGATCCACCTCATCTTCAGGATCTTCTTCTGAGTTCTCCTGGACTCCCTCATGGTGTACGGAGACGGCTTCTGGGTTGTTCCTGATAGGCCTCATGTTCTTGACTGCCCCACTTGCTGCCTCTTCTGCAGTGACCTCTCTCAAGGCATCTTGGAATGAAATGTCCTCTTTTGCAAAGAGTCTTTGTTGCAAGTCTCTGTTCCTAAGCCCGCATACAAACGGTCTCTCAGCCTTTCTTCTAGATCTTTAAAATCACAAGGCTTAGCTGCTCTTCTCAAGGCTGCAATGTATTCTTTAGCTGATTCACCAGCTCTTTGATCCCTCTGTTCAAAAGTGTGTCTCCACGCAATAACAAACAACTTGGGCTGAAAATGTTTCTTCAATAACTTTTTAAAATCTGTGTAAGTTTTCTGCAATTTCAAATGCATCTTGACCACAGACACACAGCAAAATAGCGGCTTTCAAGCCATCTTCTCTTACTTGATTTACTCTAAAGTAATTTTCTACTCTGGCAACATAAGACTCCCATCTTTCTGGGTGATTAACCTCGAATTCAGACAGTCTTCCTATCTTCGCCATTCTTGCTTCTTACTCTAGGAAGGGGTCTATCAGCCAGCTTACCTCCAGCGACACTGTACTGGCAGGCCAGGTGCTGAATTTAATGCCGTCTTCCTCTCTCCAGGACTCCTAGGGTGAGCTCACAAATCTTCTTCTTTAATCTTGCAAGCGATCCCACCTTCATCGCCAGTGTTGAGTCCTTGGATCAATGGCGAATGAAAAGAAGACATTCTGCTCATTACAACAGCCTTTATTCAACAGTTCTCTCTCCGTCACAGCTTTCAGGCTAGCAGGCCTCTCAGACTCCTTTTAACAACGTCCCCGGGCAGAATGGTAACAATTAGGCACGCACATGCGCGTGAAGCCAGCGCCAGCCAGTCTGGTCCCAGGCAGCTTGCAACTGCCCAGGACCATTGCAATGTCCCAAGCCTACCTTTGCAGGCTCAGGACACAACAAATAGGTATAAAGGGCATCTTAGGCACATAATCAGGTCTTAGCCACTGACTGTAAATCATATTTTTCCCACATTCTTGTTTTCCTTGGTTTTGTGAGGACTTAGAAAAGGCTAATAAAGAGTATACTGTAAACTAGAATATCAATCTTTCTTGTATACATATCCTACCTGTGGAATTTTGTAGCTGATTAAGATGTTGGCCATCAGATGTGAGTTTTCGGAGTCAGATTCTCCAATGACAACTGGTAACATATTCTGTTTCTCACAACTATAATTAGGGATAGTCCTTTCTTGGCTGGATAGAAGCTTCAAGGTGTTCAGATATATCATCCTTGCATCAATGTAACTATTAGAGATGTGGAATCCAAGGCTGATGTTTGGTAAGATTTTTGGATTCCTATTGATCTCCTTTACTGCATATACTAAGGAGAGTATATGTTGATTGTTTATTGGCATTTCACTGGAATGAGAAGTTGTATTCTTTATCAAATGGTCATACTACAAAGAGATAAAAAGGAAGATAAAGAAAACAAGGAGAAGAAATAAAGAGATAAAAATTGCAGGCAAAAATGGGGTGATACATAAATTAGAAAAATGCAGAGAGGAGTAAATGAGAGGGCAAAGACAATTGCAATATCAAGAATATTATCTTAAAGTATATTGACATTATGTAACTCAGCCTACATATGTTTCAGATTGGCATAATTAAGTTACTGTTGTTCTCTCTTCATTGGCAATGCAAAAGGTAATGATTACAGACTACTATAAGAATTATTTTATATCCCATAAATTGAATCTTGAAGGTGACAATACTCCTATCAACATGTTCTTTGGTACCCATTAAACTTTTCATCCTATCTAATTTTATTTTAAAATACTTTTAATTAAACGAGTATATCTATAACAAAGCAAAAACAATTCCCCCCAGCTTCAAGATATCTCAAAGGTGCTTTTTCAAAAGGCAACTAGATTGTTTTTTCCTTGAGGAAGAAGAAGTGGCTTCAAGATAGTTTTTTCTAACAATGATTCAGAGTTTCACACATCTCTGAACCCAGAGATATTCTTAGAACACAAAATGGGAGTGATTGTAGTTCAGTTTGCCTTCAAATTTTTTTGATATTTTCTGATTATCTCCAGTCAATGATTTTGTGAGAGTGCCCATAAAATGGCTTCCAAGTAACAGATGTATGTCCTGGTCTTCAATACTAGAGACTTCAGCCTTACAAACTATGGGCATATTTCTCACCCTTATGGAACATAAATTGCAAATTGACACTATCAACTGCATACAGAGAGAATCAATATAAAATGATTTACAGATGGCATTTAACACCAGAGAGATTGGCTAAAATGTATAAAAACATAGACCCAAAATGTTGGAAATATAAAATCAGAGAAAGAACATTTTATCATATGTGGTGGCTGTGCCCCAAAGCAAAAAATTATTAGGAACGAATAAGAGATTGGATACAGGAGATAACTGATTTCAGTTATAACTGGTTTGATAACTGATAACTGATAACTGATAACTGGTTTGAAATGGATTTCAAACCAGAATTATTTCTTTTGGGCACAATAAATTTAAAGATGGAAAAACAACTCAAACACATCATTATACACATATTGACTGCAGCTCGTATAGCATATGCTCAATGTTGGAAGAATGAAAATATTGCCACAAATGATATGATTATGTACAAAATCTTGGAATGTGCAGAAATGAACAAACTTACATTAGAATTAAAAGACAAGGAGGCAACAGAATTTTATGAAATTTGGAATAAATATTATAATTGGCTAGAACAGAGAAAGAAAAAGACATAATTATTGATGTACATAAAATGTAAATAAGATGTAAAGAATGCTTAAAATGTAGAGTACTGTTTATGTTTATGTATTTTAAGTTTGTTTTGGTGTATGGTATATGGTGAAAAATAATAAAAAAAAATTTAAAAAAGAATTTATCACTCAACAGATAGACAGATACTTACACTGGCGATTCAAAAAGCCATGGATTTGGATACTGCCTGAAATGTATTGTTTCTGAGAATGGATAGAACTGAGAAGCAACCCCACCAATGATAAAGTCACCAGTCTGATAATATTTTTGTGGTTTCTTAAAGGGGTTGCTCAGTTTGCATATAATACCATATACCTTGCCTAGAGATACAAGCAACAGCCACACTGAAAGCATAAAGAATGACATGTTCATTCCTATGGCTGATACAGGTCTTTTTTCACACAAATTCTCTCTTTTATTTTAAATGAGATGATAATATCCATCAAGATGCATTTTTCCTTGTTCATTGCCCTCAAGGTCATCTATATCTGTTTGTAAATATGCTTCATTAGCTTTCAAAATTTTAACTTTTAAAATGTATGAGTTTGGGAGAGACTGAGGTTAAATCATAGTGATCTGAGATAATGATATGTTTTATCAGATCTCCAAAGAACATTCGTTGGAAAGCATAATGTCATGTAAAATGTTTAAATGTTCAAGATAGTATGCTATTCTATTACTCTTATACAAAGGTAATGTTTTTGAAGTTTCTATTTTAGTTTGCTTTTTAGTTTGCTTTTTTATCTCTAAAAGTTAACTGACTGGTTGAATGCTGATTTATTTTAACACCCTGCTGGACTTTATCTGTTTTCTTTCTTTCCTTCATTTGATCTACTTTGCTGTCTTGAATAACTCTTGCTTCTCTGTAAGGCTGTGGTGGTGAACCTATGGCACATATGTCAGAAGCAGCACTCAGAGCCCTCTCTGTGGGCACACATGCCATGCCCCGAAGATGGCAATCATCCCTTTTCAACCAGCCACCCACTAACTCGCAGAGGTCCTACATGGCCAGATGCATCCCAGCACAGCTGGTTTCCCTCCCCCCGTCCCTCCTGGCCTCGTATGCTCTCCTTTCCTGGGCATGACCCACTGCATCGCCTATTCAGCTGTTGGCCGGCCATCCATCCAGCTGAGAGGCGGCTTCTCTGAACTGCTGGCAGCAGGCTGTAGAGCCCCAGAGTGCGCCAGTTGAGGGGCTGGCAGCCTGTGGCTGCTGACGGACACTGTTGGCCCCCATGCACTTGCTGGCATCTGTGTGTGGGGGCTGATGGTGTCAGGCAGCCACTGCCCTGGCCCCTGCCTTGCCTTGCCCTGTGACAATGGCACCCCTGCCTCACCTTGTCTTGCCTCACCCCACAGGATGAGCCTCCTGCCCACTGCCCCACCTGCCAGAGACCCTCTGGATTTCTCCCAACCTTGCCTGGCCCCCACAGGCATCCCTCCTGAGCAACATTGAGGTGACTACATCCACCTTGGCCACACCCACCCAGTCTGCCATGACTACAGCCACGCCCACTCAGTGGGCCATGCCCACCTGGCACCTGGTGATAAATAAGTGGGTTTTGGGTTGCAGTTTGGGCACTCGGTCACTAAAAAGTTCGCCATCACTGCCGTAAGGAATTTATGACACATTCCTGGGTACAGAAAGTGTTTTGACTTGATTTACATTTATATTAGACTTTCACTACAGGAATGTTGCATTTTATTAACTTGCAAAATATTTATTTTTAATTTAAAGATGAAGTATACTTAATATTCTGTCTTAATTTTTCTGATTATGTTCTGTACATTTTCCTTCAGCTTGCTTATTGAACATTTACACTAGTATATGGTAACAAAAATATTTTACCATTGTTGTACCAGATGGTCCCAAATGTCTATCAATACACTGAGGTTATTCAACTACTTTAGAATTTTGGATGGATATGGATTGATCTCTTTGCTGTGGATGATGATTTTGGGCACATACATTTGCTGAAAATTGTACCATTGCTCTCCTGAAACATTTGTTAAGCTTTCATACTTAGAACACCACAGTAGACATATGTGGATGAATATAGACACTTGACTTCAATAGAATTAAGATATGATTTTTTTTATGGATCAAAAAGTTCATGTATGCTTTGTATATGGAACTTATCCATTCATGCAAAAACTGAGAGTTTAGCATCTTTGACTTGGAGAAAAGAACTCCTTAAAAGGGACATATTTCAACATCAAAGGATGGAAGTGTCCTATTCAATTTAATGTGAATGATGATCACCTGGATATAATTTTTTTAAAAAATGGTTTATTCAGTTTCAAATATAAAAGGTTATAATATAAAATTACAACAAAAGGGGAAAAGTAGGGAGGGGATAACAATGAGAAAAGTTTAAAATGGAGACAACTTACCAAAGTAACATAAAAAAATTACCTCCAACTCTTCAATATGGATACAATTATATAATAGAATAATTCCTTGTTTTAGTTTAATTAAAAGTAGTTCCAAATCTAAAATATAAAAAGTATACATACCTAGCAATCAAATGATACCAATAAATAGTATCATGGTCTCTGACTCTAAATAAATACATATCACATAATAATAATTCCATAAAGGCCCATAATAGTACTAGGTACTTAATCAAATATCTATAAGAAAGCATCATGTACTTTAAATTTAAGCAAATGAATGAAACCATAAAGTAAATATTGATCCAATTTGATCTAGTGGTTCAGACTCGAGGCTAGAAACATCTCTGCAGTCACTTTGAACACTCTGATACAAGTAAAACAATAGATGGCCAGCTCTTGAAAGTGGGTCCGATTAAACATGCTGCGGCACACCCTCCCCCACGTAACTAACCTATAACCTAACATAACCCTATATATTGGGGAAGAACTGCATTGCCAAAATTCTCCCACTTGAATCCTGCAGTTGCACATTCCATCACATTTTAGAAGAAAGATACAAAATATTTGATTTATAAAATTTTGGGTGAAGAATGTATTTCAGCAGGAACAAAAGAAAAAGAAAGAAAGAAAGAAAGAAGACGGAAGAAAGGAAGGAAGGAAGGAAGGAAGGAAGGAAGGAAGGAAAGAAGGAAGGGAATTGTTTTGTATATAAATTTCTAAATGAATGTAGAAATTGTATTGATTGATGAGCATGGTAGATTGGTTGGAATGGAAATTAATTTATCTGGAATTAAGACTTTGATAAAGGGAATTTATAAAGTAGTATTTAATAAAAAATTAACAGGTTTTCCTATGACAGTTATGTTTGATGAGGGATTGGAATGCAATGATCATTCACAACTGGGTAGAATTTCTCAGATGAATATTAAAATCACTCAGGGCAAATTACCAAAAGATTTATTTGATTTTGATGGGCAACCTAGGCATGAAAATGAATCTAGTATACTAGGTAAAACTTTTCAGTTTTAATCACTGTTATCAATTTATTGTATAGGAGGGTTGTCTTGTAGTTTTTTCAGGAAATTTGATTAAAAAAAGGCCCATAGGACTTACATGGTATAAAAAAAAATCAAAGCAAACTACACTGTATTTACAATCATTAAATACATACTTCTAGCCCTTTTCTCAGGAGAAATGAGCAAAATACTGAGAACTGGAGAGAACTTAATTGTTTCCCCAACTGTTATCAAAATTACAGGTTCCTTCTTTAGCATTATTGATGATATTAAACTCAATTTTCAGAAAGTCAGCCTACCAGAGTGCTTTTGCCTATCTTCAAAATATAATTTGTTGAATAGTGTATAGATAAATAGCATTTGAAGCATTTCTATTCTAATCTTCATTTCATATTTCAATTTTTCTCCCATTATACCGATTGCTCAGATCACTTTTATATAAAGGAATGTATCTTTGCCATGTACAGAGATCATTGAAGAGAAATGAACAAATGGAAGCTTTAGTGACTTTAAGAAGTGGTTGTCCATGCAGAATTTTATTAATTTAATTTAAAAGCAATGAGGAAATAATTCTACTCTTGCAAGCAAAAAATGAAGATGGCAAAGTAGCTTCTTGGATATAAAACATTTGTTTTTGTTTTTTTAAAAACTGGCATTAGTTCAAAGCACTTTAAAAAACTGAAAGAAGCACAGAGGAACCAAAATTGAAATCTCTTTGGAGAAAATATTCCAATATTGTGGCAACTGTTTTAGAGGCCATATATGTAATGTAATAAAAATGATGCCATGGAATTTAATGATGTAGCAATAGGATGTTTTTCTGTACAGGAACAGCTATCTTTCTCTGGATGGAAACTGTCAACAATAGGACAGAGTTGACAGCAATAATGCTTCTTGTGTTCCTGTTCTGTACTTACAAAACATATGCTACCAATTGTAGCATTCTTGATGACCCACTTCCTATACCCCATCAATTTGTTCAGCCAGGAAATGTTATTTTGGGGGCAATTGTCCCTCAAGCCTTCTTCTTTCATAACAGGCCTTCCTTCACAGAAGATCCTGCTTGGACGTTGATCAATGAAGTGATGTAAGGAATTCTATATTTTTTTTTCTTCAGACTAGTAATTGCAAAATAATTCAGGGAAAAAGCAACAGGATTATAAAGTGATAACTCTTTGAAATCAAATGTCATTGAAAAATTTCAAATGTCATTGAGAGTTTTCTATTAATTAGTTTTCTCTTTCTTTGAAATATAAGAAGTTGGCTACTGATTAGAAAACTCCATGTGCCTTCACACATTGCATTAAAAACATGTATGATTCTACTGATGTTCACTTTATGAGTCATTTGTAATAGTTAATGATAATTTGTCAGATGGTCAGTGTTATGTCCCGAGCCTTTGCAAACGGCTCGGGCGTTTGCAGGCAGTCCCGGGCAGGTGCAAAGCTGCCCGGGACCAGACAGGCTGTCGCCAGCGCCGTGCGCATGCGCGGGTGCTGGCACGGGAAAAGTAACCCATTTACCCGGGAGTTGCCTATATAAGAGGCTGCGAGGCGTTTGGGCGAGGCTGAAGCCATCTTCCTGTAAGCTGAACGCTGAATAAAAGAAACTGAGAACTCCAGCTGCTTCTCGTGTCTGTTTTCCCGCCACGGACTCAACACTGGCGACGAGGATGGGATGCCTTGCACTACCTGGAAAGGAAGAAGTGTAAGCTTACCCAAGGAGTCCTGAGCGGCGGAAGAGGAACGGCGTCGACTCGGCAGCTGCCCGCCAATCCGGTGCGCATTCGGGGGTAGGCTGGCTGATAGACCCGTCTCCTGAAGATCCGAAGATGGCGAAAATCGGAAGGCTTTCGGAATTCGACGTCTCACATCCAGAGCGGTGGGAGTCCTACGTATCCAGAATGGAGAACTACGTCAAGGCAAACCAAGTGAGGGAAGATAGCTTGAAGGCGGCCACCCTGCTTTGCGTTTGCGGCCAAGACGCCTTCGAAATCGCAGAAAACCTTGCAGCACCTGTCCCAGTAGAGTCTGTAAGCTACGCAGACCTGAAGAAGCTGCTGAAGGAGCACTTCATCCCCAAGGTGTCCGTTATCTCATGGCGCCACACCTTCGAACAAAGGGATCAACGGTCCGGTGAGTCAGCCAAGGAATACATCGCCGCGTTACGGAAGGCCGCCAAGCCCTGCGAGTTCAAGGACCTCGAGGAACGACTGAGGGACCGATTCGTGTGCGGGTTAAGGCATCGCGAGCTACAACAGAGACTTTTCGCAAAGGAAGAATTATCCTTCCAAGACGCCTTAAGGGAAGTCACCGCAGAAGAAGCAGCAGGCGGCGCCATCAAAAACATGCGGCCGATCAGAAACAGTGCAGAGGGTGCGTCCGTGCACCAGGAAGACGTCCGACGAAACTCCGAGGAGGATCCGGACGAAGAAGTCGACCGTCTACACCCCGCGAAGGAAGAAAACCAGAAGGGAAGCTCTTCGGCTCCGCTCAAGTGCATCGGCTGTGGAGGTCGCCACAGGAGAACCGACTGCAAGTTCCGCTCTGCTACCTGCCGGGCATGCGGGAAACAAGGGCACATTGCAGCTGTGTGTCTGGGCCGACGAAAGGCACAACCCCAAGAAGAACGCCTGAAGGGTACCAGACTTCCCCAGCCAGAATAGGGTAGGTTTTTGAGCTTCGCGAAGAAGCATCTGTAACAGGCACACACAAGCCCATGAAGAAAAAGCTGTCACTCAACGTGAAGCTACAAGGGGTTCCATTATCTATGGAACTAGACACAGGGTCTGCCCTGTCCATCATTTCATTGCATACATTTAGGAAGATTTGTTCCAGAAGTGGGTCTAAGGCCAAGTTAAGGCCTTCTGATATTGTATTAACAGATTTTCAGAACTCAAGAGTGTGTGTTAAGGGGGAGGCCACCCTTAACGTGCAATACAAGAGTTTTGAAGGTCCACTAGACTTATTAGTAGTAGGGGGTGAACGAACGAGTCTCATAGGACTCGATTGGTTTGAGGCCCTGGGGATACACGTCACAGGACTCAACAGCTTACAAACACTCGACCTACAGGAAGTCTGCAAAGAATTTGCAGATGTTTTCAGCCCCCAGCTGGGCACATTCAAAGGACCACCTGTGTCCTTAAAGCTAGACCCCACTGTCACTCCCATTAGGATTAAAGCAAGAAGGGTCCCTTTTGCTTTAAAAAGTAAGATTGACACTGAACTAGACAAACTAATCCAACAGGGAATCCTAGAACCTGTTGATTCCAGCCCGTGGGAGACCCCCATTGTCACGCCTCTAAAGGCAAATGGGGACATTCGCATTTGTGCTGATTACAAATGCACACTCAATAAGGCATTGCAGCAACATGCCTATCCTGTTCCTGTGGTCAGTCACATCCTGGCCTCTCTCAAGGGGGGGCGTGTTTTTGCAAAGCTTGACCTAGCTCAAGCATATCAACAGCTGCCTGTTGATGATGATGCTGCCATAGCTCAGACCATTGTGACCCACAGGGGAGCCTTTAAAGTAAAAAGGCTACAGTTTGGAGTAAATGTCGCTCCTGGGATTTTCCAAAGCGTAATGGAAAACACACTACGAGGTATACCAGGGGTCTGCCCCTACTTTGACGATGTCTTGATTGCAGGAGACTCCACACACATTCTAGCTGAAAGGCTTAGGGCTGTCCTGTTAAGATTCAGGAAATCAGGCCTCAAGCTCAGAAAAGACAAATGCCAGATTGGGGTGCCTTCTACTGAATTTCTGGGATTCAAAATTGATGCTGCTGGGATTCATCCTGCTGAATCCAAACTAACTGCTATTTTAGATGCACCCAGGCCAAAGTCTAAGGCCGAACTTCAGGCCTTCCTAGGCCTCCTGAATTTCTACAATTCTTTTCTTCCACATAAAGCTAGTGTAGCTGAGCCTCTTCACAGGCTACTAGACAAACAGGCTGTGTGGCTGTGGTCACAAGCGCATGAGGCTTGCTTTAAAGAAGTCAAGGCCTTGCTCACTTCTAACAGTGTTCTTGCACATTTCAACGAGTCTCTCCCTGTGTGCATCGCTTGTGATGCGTCCCCCTATGGGGTTGGAGCTGTCCTGAGTCACCTCAGGTCTGATGGAACTCAGGTTCCTATTGCATACTACTCCAGAACACTGTCTTCTGCCGAGCGCAACTACGCTCAGATAGACAGGGAGGCTCTGGCTGTTGTTGCTGGAATTAAAAAATTCCATGATTTTCTATATGGCAGGCATTTCACGGTCTTCACTGACCATAAGCCTCTGCTGGGACTGTTTACCACACGTAAGCAGACTCCCCACATCATTTCCCCTAGAATGCTTAGGTGGTCTATTTTTTTGTCTGCATATGATTTTTCATTACTCCACAAGCCTGGGAAAGAAATGGGCCATGCTGATGGCCTCAGTAGATTGCCTCTGCCAGTAGTAGAAGCTGACCCCGCGCCAGCTGTCAACATTCTATCAATCCAAGCCTTGCCCGAGCTCCCTCTTAGTGCCAGGGATGTTACCGCTGAAACAGGTACTGATCACACACTTTCACGTGTCCGCTCCTGGGTCCTGTCCGGGTGGCCTGAGCACTGCCCTAGTCCTGAGTTTCAGAGTTTCTGGTCCAAAAGGAACGAACTGTCCCTTTCTCAGGGTTGTCTGCTTTGGGGAAACAGAGTTGTCATTCCCACCTCAATGAGGACTAGGGTCTTAGAATCCCTCCACGAGGGTCATCCTGGCATTGTTCGTATGAAGGCTCTTGCACGAAGCCACTTGTGGTGGCCTGGTTTAGATAAAGATATTGAGGCTAAGGTACACGCATGCCACCTGTGCCAACGATCTCGCCCAGAGATGCCCCAAGCTCCTGTGCATAGATGGGAGGAAACACAGTCCCCATGGTCTAGGGTGCACATTGACTACGCTGGGCCCTTTCAGGGCCAGTTCTTCTTGGTCCTTGTTGACAGCCATTCAAAATGGCTTGAGGTTGTGCCTGTCTCATCCACCACCACTGCAAAGACTATTCAGGTACTGAGGGGGATTTTTGCTGCACACGGGCTGCCAGATGTCATTGTGTCCGACAACGGCCCTCAATTCACCTCCTCCGAATTCCAAGCTTTCTTACAGGCAAACCTGATTCGTCATGCCACGTCTGCGCCTTTTCACCCGTCCACCAACGGTATGGCTGAACGCATGGTGCGCATCGCAAAGGACGCCTTGAAGAGACTCACCTACGGGGACTGGCATCACAGGTTGGCTGACTTTCTCCTTTCTTATCGCACCACACCGTCCACTTCTACAGGGAGAAGTCCAGCTGAACTTCGTTGGGGGCGCCAACTTACTACTAGACTTGACCGGTTGCATCCGGACAGACTGCCTTCATCTACCTCACATCCTAGGGCACCTAGACAACTACTTGTGGGTGCCCCGGTTTGGGCTCGCAATTACGGGCCTGGTCATACATGGGTCCCCGCTTCTGTGTCCAGGATCACAGGTCCTCTCTCCTACGAGGTTGCCCTGGACAACGGTCGTGTCCTGCGTCGGCACATCGACCAACTTCGCTCTAGGCGAGACTTTTCTGCTGAGACTCCTGGGTCTTTTCCAGGGGGGGAGGGGGACCCTTTGGAGCAAAGGGAAGGGCAAGAGCTACTGCCCATCTCCACTGAGGGAGCCACAAACGGCTCGTCCCAAGGTTCTGCAATTGCTCCGAAAAGAAAGTCATGGAGCTTACCCACACAACAGGCACTCACGCCTACTCCAGCCAGGGAGTCACCCCGGGGGCATACTCACTTTCCACACACATCACACAGCACTCCAGCAACGGAGGATACCCGGGGGCATCCCAACAAATCATTCCCCGCAAGAGAACTGGCACACAATTCCCAAGGTTGGCCTGACCTTACCCCAAATCCTACAGGGGGTCAAACATACACAGAGTTAGTCGAGGAACCAAGTCCCGACTACAACAACCCTAGCACAAATCAGGGAACACCTGAGTTTTGGGAAAGTACAGAAACCCACACGAGCCCGAACACAGAATGGGGTTCAGGGAATGGACAGCCTCCTGACAGGTCTTGGACTGACCTAGGAGGTTCTACAGAGACGCCCAGCAGCGGCTATCACTTCAAGGGGCCTGAGGGTCTACAGCTAGGTAGGTCAACCAGGTCACAAAGTAACAGAAGCCCTGGCCTGACGAGCCCGGTGGGCAAGCAAGCAGGCCAGGCATCGGGGCACAGTCCTTGGAAGACACCAGGGCACAATAGAGAGAACAGGCTCACGCCTCCCTCCAGTCAGGGGAATTATGCCAGTAATCCAGAGCTAAGAAGGTCACAGAGAGCAAAGAAATCTCCCAAGTACCTAGAAGACTACATAACATTGCTGGCAAAGCAAAAGCCAGTAAACAGTGGGAACATTGGGGAGCAAAATGTCGTATAAAATAAATGTTGTATGTTGGTAGTAGTTTTAGCCCGGGGGAAAGGGGTGTTATGTCCCGAGCCTTTGCAAACGGCTCGGGCGTTTGCAGGCAGTCCCGGGCAGGTGCAAAGCTGCCCGGGACCAGACAGGCTGTCGCCAGCGCCGTGCGCATGCGCGGGTGCTGGCGCGGGAAAAGTAACCCATTTACCCGGGAGTTGCCTATATAAGAGGCTGCGAGGCGTTTGGGCGAGGCTGAAGCCATCTTCCTGTAAGCTGAACGCTGAATAAATGAAACTGAGAACTCCAGCTGCTTCTCGTGTCTGTTTTCCCGCCACGGACTCAACAGTCAGGCTAATAATAGCACTGCTTCTACCTATCTTCAAAATATCATTTCTTGAATAGTGTATAGAGAAGTGTCATTTGAAGCCTTTCTATTCTAATCCTCAAATAATATTCTGATAAGAGTAAAATACAAACAGGCATACTCTCTGTATATGCTGATTAGATCTCTTTAGTGAAGGAATTTTATCTTTGCCATGTGGAGAGATCATGGAAGGGAAAGTAAACACATGGAAGCTTTATTAATTGTAAGAGATGATAACCAACTTTGAATCTTATTTAGTTTAAAATCAATGAGGAAAATCATCCCACTTTTCTCTTCCAAGAAATATCATTTGTTGAGTAGTGTATAGAGTGAATAGTGTATTTCTATTCTAATCCTCGTACAATTTGGTTTTACTCTGATAGGAGTAAAATACAAAAAGGCATACTCTGTGTATTTGCTGATTGGCTCTACTTTTAGGTAAGGCAATTTATATTTACCATGTGGAAAGATCACGGAAGGGAAAATAAACACACAGAAGCTCTATTAGCTGTTAGATATGGTAACCCATGCAGAATCTTATTTAGTTTAAAGTTTAAAGAAGAAAAGAAAAGAAAAAAAGAACAAAAGAAAAAAGAATTGAAGATCATAAAGTAGCTTCTGAAATACAAAACCATTTTTCCCCAATAGCATTAATTCATAGAGCATTAAAGAATTGAAGGAAGGTACAAACAAATCACACAGGTATGCATAGAGACTGCATGCACACAGTGAAAAAAAAATGGAATCTATTTGGAGAAAATTGTGGAAACTGCCTTTGTGGCCACATATATAAAGATAATCAAAAATGATGCCATGGAATTTAATTTTGTAGAGATAGGAAAATTTTATGTATAGGAAAATTTATGTTTTACTGGATAAAAGTTATCAACAATAGAATGGGGATGTTAGCACTGATGCTCCTTGAGTTCCTATTCTGTATTACACAATACAGGGCATTGATTGTACTATGCCTGATGGAAGTAAATTGATCCCCTTCTCTTCGTGGCAGCCCTTTGAATAGATAATATAATGATGTTATCCATTCAATTGTGTTTACTCTTGGTGATTCTATGGGCCAGGTTTCTCCACAACTTCAGGTCTTGCACTATTTCTTTACTCTATGCTCTGGCTGGTGTTGTCAACAACAGAATGAAGATGCTAGCAATGTTACTCCTTATGGGGGACTTTAATTACCCTGACATCAAGTGGGAGACAAACTCTGCACCAAGTGGAAGATTAAACAGATTCAAGACAAACCTAGCAGACAACTTTGTCTCCCCAAAAGTAGAGAAGGTAATTAGGGGATAAGCCATATTGGACTTAATTCTCACTAACAGAGATGAAATGATAGAAGGTGTTGAAACCACAGGAACCTTGGGAGGGGGAGTGCAGTTTTGGAATTCAACATTATGCAGGCACAAGCAATAAAACACAGTCAAATTAGAGTCTTTGACTTCAAGAGAGCTAATTTCAATAAACTTAGAGAGGGCTTGGGAAGGATTCCATGCATGAGAATCCTCCAGGGGAAAACAACTCAAGAAGCTTAGGAAATTTTGAAAAGTGAGATAATAGAAGCCCACTCTAGCACAATAGCAAAAGGAAAATTAACAGCTCTCAAAAGAAACCAGCATGACTGCATAATGAACTCTCTGATAAATTGAAAGATAAAAAGGACAAGTATAGAAAGTGGAAAGAAGGACACATAACTAAGTCAGAATATCAGCAAATAGCCCTACAGGCAAACAAAGTCATTACTAAAAGCCAACATGGGCTTGTCAAAAACAGATCATGCCAGACAAATCTTACTGCATTCTTTGACCAAGTGACAAAATTAGTGGACCAGAGAAATGCTATGGACATAATTTACTTGGACTTCAGTAAGGCATTTGACAAAGTAGATCACAACATACTACTTGATAAGATAGAAAAATGTGAGTTAGACAGCATCACCACCAGATGGATTCGTAGCTGGCTGACCGGCCAGACTTAGCTTGTGATCCTCAATGGAACCGCATCTTCATGGAGGGAAATGTGTAGTGAGGCACCCCAGAGCTCTGTTCTGGACCCAGTGCTTTCAACAATGATTTGGACGAGGGGATAGATGGGGAACTCATCAAATTTGCAGACAACACCAAGCTGGCAGGAATAGCCAACACTCCAGAAGACAGGCTTAGGATACAGGAGAATCTGGGCAGACTTGAACACTGGGCGCTATCTAACACAATGAAATTCAATGGTGAGAAAAGTAAGGTTCTACATTTAGGCAAGAAAAAACAAATGTACATGTATAGTATAGGAGGTACCTTGCTCAATAGTAGTAACTATGAGAGGGATCTTGGAGTCCTAGTGGACAATCATTTAAATAAACCATCACCTGTGGAGACGGTTACCAGCATCAAATTCCTGGCTGTGCAGCTAATGAGTAGGCTGACTTGGTCGCTCAACAGTGAGAAACTGGTGAAGTGGGCACAGCAGTGCCTGCATTTTCTGCGCCGCATGAAAAAAGCATATTTTTCTTCCCCTGTCCTGACCACTTTCTACAGGGGGACAATTGAGAGCATCCTGTCATACAGCATCACAGTTTGGTTTGGAGGCATCATTGCTTCAGACAGGAAGGTGGTGTAGAGAGTGGTGAGAATGGTTGAAAAGATCATTGGCAGTTCCCTCCCTCCCATCCAGCACATAGCACAGAAGCGCTGATTGAGCAGGGTCCGTACGATTATCTAGGACACTACACATCCTCTTCAGGACCTGTTTTCCTTGTTACCTTCTGGGAGGAGGCTTTGTGGTATCCTTAGCAGAACATCCAGATTCAGCCAGTTTCATTCCATACAGCATTAACCTTGCGAACTCTCAAGCTTCCTCCTTCCATTATATATTCAAGATGGACAATATTTAATATTTATTTGCTATGTATATGTAGGGATGTGGGTCTATACATATGTTGTTCATAGTATGTTTAGGTGTGTGTCATGTATGTTTCACTTTGAAAGCGGGGAACTAAATTTCATTTTTGATGTGTGCCATTGTGCCACACATAAAATGACAATAAAGGTTATCTTATCTTATCTTATCTTATCTTATCTTATCTTATCTTATCTTATCTTATCTTATCTTATCTTATCTTATCTTATCTTATCTTATCCCATCCCATCCCATCCCATCCCATCCCATCCCATCCCATCCCATCCATCCATCCATCCATCCATCCATCCATCCATCCATCTATCTTATCTTATCTTACCTTACCTTACCTTATCTTATCTTATCTTATCTTATCTTATCTTATCTTATCTTATCTTATCTTATCTTATCTTATCTTATCTTATCTTATCTTATCTTATCTTATCTTATCAGTGTGCTGCAGCTGCAAAAAAAGCCAACACTGTGCTAGGCTGTATTAACAGAGGGATAGAATCAAGATCACATGAAGTATTAATACCACTTTACAATGCCTTGGTAAGGCCACACTTGGAATACTACATCCAGTTTTGGTCATCACAATGTAAAAAAGATGTTGAGACTCTAGAAAGAGTACAGAGAAGAGCAACAAAGATGATTAAGGGACTGGAGGCTAAAACATATAAGGAATGGTTGCTGGAATTGAGTATGTCTAGTTCAATGAAGAGAAAGATTAGGGGGGCATGATAGCAGTGTTCCAATATCTCAGGGGCTGCCACAAAGAAGAGGGAGTCAAGCTATTTTCCAAAACGCTTGAGGGCAGGACAAGAAGCAATGGATGGAAACTAATCAAGGAGAGAAGCAACCTAGAACTAAGGAGAAACTTCCTGATAGTTAGAACAACCTGCCTCCAGAAGTGGTAAATGCTCTAACACTGGAAGTTTTTAAGAAGAGACTGGACAGCATTTATCCAAAATAATATAGGGTTACCTGCCTGAGCAGGGAGTTGGACTTGATGACCTCCAAGGTCCCTTCCAACTTTATTATTATATATAAATCTTTGATTATATAATTTCCAGCCCATCCAATTGTATGATTGATTTAACTATTGTTGCCTATGTCTGGATGTCTTCTTTGGGATGATATGAAATCATTAGGAATTCATCAAACATTTTATCTAATTTTGCATTTAAAGCTTGTAAGTAAGAAAACACTGTTATTTAAAAATATAAAGAATGGTTGCTGGAATTGGGTATGTCTAGTTAATGAAGAGAAGGACTAGGGGTAACATGATAGCAGTGTTCCAATATCTCAGAGATTGCCACAAAGAAGAGGGAGTTAAACTATTCTTCAAAACACCTTAGGGCAGGACATGAAGCAACAGATGGAAACTAACTAAAGAGAGAAGGAACCTAGAAATAAGGAGAAATTTCCTGACAGACACAACAATTAATCAGTGTAGCAACTTGCCTCCAGAAGTTTTGAATGCTCCAACACTGGAAGTCTTTAAGAAGAGATTGGATAGCCACTTGTCTGAAATGGTATAGGGTTTCCTGCCTGAGCAGGTGGTTGGACTAGATGGTTTCCAAGGTCCCTTCCAACATTATTATTATTATTATGGATCATCGCACAGTCAGCCAGATGTTCAGACTGGATTTGGCATTTTGTCTACCTATCGAATCCTTACCCAGGACCTGGGATAGGCAGATGTGGATGTTTGATGGTATTACAGGTATCGTCGCAGGATGGAAGCAGTTCCTAGTAAGGCCGCCTTTTGCAATTGACTAATAGCGAATTTGTCAATGCCAATGGTGTTCAAGTGGTGCTCCAGTTGTTTTGGGATTGCACCCAAGGCGCCTATGACTATTGGTACTACCCTTGCTTGCTTTTGCCACAGTCTTTCTATTTCTATTTGTAGGTCTTTGTATTTTGTTATCTTCTCCAGTTCTTTCTCTTCTATTCTGCTGTCTCCAGGCACTGCCACGTCCACTATCCAGACTTTTTTGTCTTTCTTATCGACAATTGTTAAGTCTGGGGTGTTATGTTGCAGGTGCTTGTCTGTTTGAATTCTGAAGTGCCAGAGCAGTTTAATTTTATCATTTTCTATGACTTTTTCTATTTTATGATCCCACCAGTTTTTGCTTACAGGCAAATGATATTTTTTGCAGATCTTCCAATGCACCATTGTTGTTACTTTGTCATGCCGCTGCTTGTAGTCATTCTGTGCAATCTTCTTGCAACAGCTTACCAGGTGGTCCATTGTTTCTTCAGCTTCTTTGCATAGGCGGCACTTACTGTCTGTTGCTGTCTTCTCAATTTTGACTTTATATGCATTTGTCCTTAGGGCTTGGTCTTGTGCAGCCAGAATTAGTTGTTGTTGTTGTTGTTGTTGTTGTTATTGTTATTATTATTATTAAATTATTGTTATCTGTATCTGGATGTCTTGTTTAGGATGCTTTGAAATAATTAGGAATTTATCAAATATTTTATCTAAATTTTCATTTAAAAATTGTAAGTTGGCAAACATTGTTTTTTCAAAAGTTTCCAAGAAGGTTTTAACATTTAAAATATCTGTGTCCTATTTCTTTTTTATATCTCTTTTTGTAGAGAATTGTAGAAAATATATAATGTAAAATATTCAAAATCCTTCATTTATCACTGCTTTGATTTTACTGTAGTCCAAGTATCTCTTATATCCAAGCTTTGGCAGCAGAGTGTTCAAGGACAGAGAGAATAGATATTCAATAATAATTTTCACAACAGGGATAGGGGAAAAAAGGGAAAGTTCCCATCATTTTAAAATAAAAAAGCAAATATATATATATAAAAATAAAATGAACCAATGGAATTTTTTTTAGAAAGGCTAACAAAATGGAAACTCCATAGAGTAGAAATCCAGCATAAAGCAGATCAAGTCACTATCACTGCAAAGAAAAAAATCCCTCATGCCACTGATTTCTTTCCAATAAAGAGAAAGTGTTGTAAAACTCTGGAGTAAAACAATAAAAGTTTACATTTGCAAACAAGCAAAGGAATACAGAGCAAATCAGCATTCAGCCAGGGTATTAACCATTAAACTTCAAAAGGTGATGTTAAAAACAAAGCCACACCTAAAAATACAAACAGCGAATAGAAAAGTTGGAGACCTGACTGGCTGCTTTTAATGAGACTCACAATCCTCTAGATCAGTGGTTCTCAACCTGTGGGTCGGGACCCCATTTGGGGTCGAATGACCATTTCACGGGGGGTCATCAAACAACACATTTTTTCCCCTTTTTTCTTAGCTGTGCTACTCCCTTTTATTCTATTGGCTTTTGAAAGCCAATAGAATAGACTCTCTTGAATAGAGTCTAATTCTATTGGCTTTCAAAAGCCAATAGGAATTGTTCAGGCTGTCTCTGCCCTGCTGAGCCCGCCAAAAGTCCCATTCTGCAAACGGTGCTGCACCAGTTGAGTAATCCTCGACTTACGACTGGTTGAGTAGTCCTTGACTTACGACCGGTTGGGGGTCGCGGCATTAAAAAGGTTGAGAACCACTGCTCTAGATTTATCTTCTCAGGCAAGTACACAGTTATCAAAGGGTCATCATTGGTCATTCCTAGGAGTTCCTGTTCAAATCTGGGGAACTGGCTTTGGCAGCAAAGTCAGCTGTTTGTCTGCAGAGAGAGAAAAAATGCCCTGCTGCTCAGAGTGTCACTTACTGGTGATCTCCTTGGCATACAATATCATAGATTTGAATACACAAGTAGAAGAGAAGTCTAGCAATAGCAATAGCACTTAGACTCATATAGTGCTTCACAGTCCTTTACAGCCTTCTCTAAGTGGCTTACAGAGTCAACATATTGCCCCCAACAATCTGGGTCCTCATTTTACCCACCTCGGAAAGATGGAAGGCTGAGTCAAGCTTGCACCAGTGAAAATCAAACTGCTGGCAGTCAGCAGAATTAGCTTGTAATGCTGAATTCTAACCACTGTGCTACCATGGTTCTTAGGAGATACTTATTATGTTGTTTAATTAAATTGATAGTTTTTATTGCAGTTCTGTGCCAAAGATATATCAGCACATCCTTGCTTTGGGGTTTGCTGTAAAGGAGATCAATAGGAATCCTGAGCTCCTACCAAACATCACATTGGGTTTCCACATTGTGAACAACTACTTCCCTTTGAGGATAACCTATAAGGCAACCTTGAGCTTACTTTCTACGCAGCAGAAGTTTGTTCCCAACTTTACCTGTGATTTAAAGAAAACATTTATTGCTGCCATTGGAGGACGTATTACAGAGACCTCATTGACTATGGCCACAATTCTTGCCAACTACAAGATTCCACAGGTATATCCTTGAGATGGCTCCCTAGAAATGCCAAGTTTCTTTAATTTCTTCCATTGTCAAAGCATCTTTAGAAATCTTTTCAGAGTTGACATTCATAGCGGAAAATCTAGGAGAACACTGTATTGTACATTCAGTTAATATAAATATGAATAAACTATATGGATTATTAAATATTTAGAAACTAAGAACTCTTTGTAGTTTCCCCCAAATATTGAATATTAGCAAACTCCTGTTAGCATTCAGTTTTAATGTGATTGGTCCACTACAGAAAATACTGTCTTTCCTACATGCTACTTCAGGAAGTCAAACTAGAACACTTTTGCCAATCATAAATGCCTGGGTTTTGATCTTGTGCTATATTTTAAGTGTTTCTACAATCAGTTAAAATGGGCTCAGAAACAGACAGGCAACTTATTAAAATGATATAATATTGCATGTATATGAACTGAAATGTATAATTTCACCAACACTTCAGTACTGACTTTCTTCCTTAGTTATAATGAAAATGAATCCCATTTAATATTCTTATGTAATTGTTCTGATTATTTGGTATATATTGCCTTTCAGCTTGCATATGGAGAATTTTCTCTAGTACATGGTGAGAAAAATATATTTTCATTTTTGTACCAGATGGTTCCGAATGAAATGCATCAATTCACTGGGGTTATTCGATTACTTCAGCATTTTGGATGGAATTGGATTGGGGTATTGGCCATGGATGATGACTATGGGGACGTGTTTCTGCAGAAAATTGAACCGTTGCTTTCTCAAAACAGCATTTGTTATGCTTTTATACTTAGAACACCACCGAAGGCATATATAGATCATATCTTATATATATACATATAATATATATAAGATATGATCAACTCTTTGTGGAAAATAAGGTCAGTGTGTGCTTAATCTATGCATTAAGTCCAGCCATGCAAAATCTGAGAGTGATCATCTTTGTAGCATCTTTTACTTCACTGCCAACTTTGGGTAAAGTGTGGATTGTTACATCCCATTGGAATTTTGAATCACTGTCCCTTCAGAAACTTTGGGATATACAGAGTTTCCATGGTGTCCTTTCATTCGCAGTTCACTCAAAAGAGCCACCTGGATTCCAAGAATTTCTTCAGACTGTAAGGCCATCTTGGGCACAAGAAGATAATTTCATTCAGAATTTTTGGGAACAGGCATTTGACTGTCCATTACACATTTCCAGTATAAATGAAAATAGCAACCTATTATGCACTGGGGATGAGAAGTTAGATAATGTGCCGAGTAAATTATTTGAAATGAGCATGAGCGGTCACAGTTACAACATTTATAATGCAGTCCATGTTATGGTACATTCTTTGCATGCCTTACTCAAGTCCAGATCCAGATGGAGAAATGCAACAGGAACAGAACGATTAATATTTCAGAATTTAAAACCATGGCAGGAATTTTATTTTATTTATTTTATTTTATTTTTTCTAACACACAAAAATTGTTTGTTTAATTGCACCATGTAGTGATGCTACTGGCAATGATGTTATACAGCACTGTTATACCAATGAATTCTGTTAAATAAAAAAAAAACACTTCATTTTGCAGAAAATAAAAGCTTTTACATTAGTAGTTAGTTGTATTGCAGAGATATTTGTTTCCAAATTGGGAAACAATATAACTACTAATTTAAAAGATTATAGTTGCTTTAGGGGGGAAGTATTTTTCTATTCTACAGAATGTATAGTGTTTTTTCCAGAGATGGTCATTGTTTTTTTCCCCACAGCTGTAGTTTTACACATTAATTTGTTTTGAATTTCATAGAAAACATACCTAACAGTGAAGTAATGTTGGGAAAGTGAGAAGTGGGAAAGAATAATATATTAAGCTTTATTTTCTCATTTGGAGGTTCAGAATGTAGTAAAGATAAAATCATGCTTTCTAAAGTTCAGATTCTAAAGTTCTAAAGTTTGGTTTAGGTTATTATATGTAGATGATCCATCTATGTGAATGAGGACTGGCAACTTTGTAATGGTATTTGAGAAGCACTATTTGATTATTCATTGTGGAGTGCATTCAGATTCTATGCAACCAAAAAACTGCAGGTTTTTTAATTTGGCCAATCTAAGGTCAACTGGTGATCTTAGACCACTCATTCTCTCTTAGAATAGAAAGGATGAAAGTGCAAACCAATTCTGGACATCTTGCCAAAAAACAAAACAAAACAAAAAAAACCTGCAGCGAGCTGTCCAAACAGTCAAAGACACCCATAATCTTCATTTGCATTTTTCAAAGCAGGATAGTTCACTTTAATATACTTTTATGTGATTGAGATTGCAAAGTCTTGCTGTTAATTTCTTTTACTTTTTTTTTTAAAAAAATATAGTTTCATTCTTTCTTGAAAAACATCGTATTCAACAACAGTATGGGGGACACTATTACATTTGATGAAAAGAAAGAACTGATTATGGGTTTTGATGTTGTAAATTGGATTACTTTTTACAATAATTCCTTTTCTCGAATCAAAGTTGGAACATTGGAACCTTGGGCTCCACCGGGCAGAGAATTAACTCTTAATGACGATCAAATTGTATGGCACAGAAGCTTTAACCAGGTGAGAAGAAACTGCAGATTCTCAACTGCAGATTCTTTCAAATACATGGCAATAATTGAAAAAAATGATTTTTCTGTCTTTTGGAGCTTTTTTTAAACTCTTTTTTTATTTTATTTAAAAAGGGTTAAAATACAAGATTCCAAAAAAGTTTTTAAGGAAACAAAGAAAAAGTACAAAATGAACAAGACATTTAAAAAAGTGCATAAAAAAGTAACACATATACACATATTATCCCCTCTAATTGAATATTAATATATTAAAACAATATTAGTTCCCCATCCCTTGCAAAACAGGCCCCATCCAAAGTTTAAACTTCTAATTCTATTTCCAAAGTATTAACCTGTCATCTATATGCTATATTAATGACAAAATAGCTAACAGGAACAACAACAACAATAATAATAAATATTAAAGTTTCAAAATCTTCTGTTAACGAACTGTTATTGTAATCAACTTATAGCATTTACCATGGCTTCTTATTTATCCCAGATTGTCCCTAGAGATAATACTGATTCATCCTGGACCAAATATTCACATTTGTTTCTTAATGCCATATCTAATCAATTGTTTCCTGATTAAACATAATAAGTCCAATCTACAAAGTCGTCTGTATTCCTAAAAAAGTCCAGATGAAATGGTTTTCTAATTAACTGTGATAAATCAGTTCCCCAATCTTTTTCAAACCTCTTAAGGAAAATCAATTTATTACATCCATTCAGTTTTCTATTGTTGTAAAAGATTGCAGGCTTGAATTTTAGAGAGGCATGTGCAATTGAGTCTGTTCTAAATCTTTAAGGTACATGTTTCTTTCTGCTACTTTCAGATCACATTCTTTTTGTGAATCTGATTTATCTACAGTTATTTGTATCTGAATATTTTCTGCAGCCATTATCACTTCATCACTTTCAACTAGGGATCATATGTTACCAAATGGTCTTTTTTCAGATGCCAGCCACATTACCTTGTTTATAATCTGATAATTGTTGCTCAGTGTAACTTAGTAATGGTAAGTAAGAGAATTCTTCAAAGACAGGAAACAAGAAATGTTGAAGTAACATCCCACGGAATAAGAAAGTAGACAGAAAATCAGGGAAGATATTTTTTGGATATTTTAATCCACAATTAAAACAAAGATTAAAAAATAATCTACAAATTTTTACAAATTAATAAAATACAAAATCCCTTTAATCCACTAAAATACAAATCAAGTGAAAGCACGTTCACTACTCAGGACTACACTGTGATTTCCTTATGGAAAAACAAAAGTTATTCAAAACAAGAAAATAGATCAAAGGAGAGAGACAAAAAAAAAAATAGAGTCCAAGCAGGGGATTAAAATAAATTATCATTCAACCAGCCAGTCAAATTTTAGAAATAAGAAGCAAAGAAAAACAGAAATTTAAAAAAGTGAAGTTGAAACCCAGACAAGCTTAAGAAAGTGAACTACCGAGAGGAAAGATGGATGACTGGTGATTTTCCAATCATGCCCACAGGGAAATGCAATCTTCAAGATTCCTCTTCCCACCTGGGTCCATGGTTGTCTGAAAGATGCCATAAGTCATTCCTATGTGCTCCCATTCATATCCAGGGTGCAACACTGCCAAAGAATCAGCTTTGACAGCAAAATCAGCAGATTTAAGAGAGAAAAATTACCTTACCATTCAGTAGCCATTATGAGGAAGAGTCGCTTTTAGAGGTTTTCAAGGTGATGAGCCAGAACATTTTTTATATAGCATTGAGCATTAATGATTCCATGGCAAGTTTATGGCAAATGCTTCCAATTGTGCTTGGAATACACAGATTGCCAATGAAACTACACATAGTATTAGACTTACAATGGATCATTTAACAATCTTCAAAATTTACTATTGACTGAAAAATAGCTATTTATTATCTGTCTTCAAAGTTGAGACTGCTGCCTCCATTGTTGTTGCATGATCACATTTCAAGCACATGGCAACTGGCTCAGATTTTATGAACAACTGGAGTGTCCCTTGGTCACATGATCATGATTTGCAGACTTAGTTTCCAGCAAACACTGCCCATTTAGCAGAATTATTTTTTTTAATGAACATGTGGTTGAATTAACAATAGTGATTTAGTTTACATCCAGTTTAAAAATGATTGCAAAATTGAAATTTTCACATAGTGGCCCAACTTCCAGTTGCAACATCTTATGACTGAAATTCTGCATTCCAGAATTGGTTGTAAGTCAGGACCTACCTGTAGTACCACATTCTATTTTTAAACATTCTGGGTGCCAAAGAACCTGGATTGCATTTGCTCATGTTCAGAAAAAATATTATCTAATGAATCCATTAGGACTGATCCAAACACCTGCCAGATCCTATGGAAATATAATTTTCTGCCATTCAGGCCCTCTGTTAGAATATCCAAAGAAGTCAAAGCAAATTCTTCTCATTTACTCAAGTTTCCTCATTTTCATTTTCTTTTGCTTCTTTATCCTGGTTGTGGGTTTCTTTTTTTGAAAAAGCTGTATTAATGCAGGTATTTTATCCTCTGATTCTCTCACACTTTTTACTGTTCAGGGGCTTCCTATTTCTGTGTGCAATGACCACTGCTATCCAGGCTCCAGCAGAAAGAAGAAAGAAGGAGAGAAATTTTGTTGCTATGATTGTGCGCCATGTTCAGAAGGACAGATCTCTAATGAAATAGGTAGGCAAAAGATGTGAGGACTTTGGCTAACTGGCCAGCAAAAATCAAGTCCAATGTCCAGATTTATTTAAGGAGAACTATATGAACAACAGCAAAAACAATGCAAGACAAGAAAAAAGATTTCCCCTCATAATATTCTCTCTTCTCTTGCTCTTTATCCCTCTATCTTTTTCTCTCATTTATCTACTTCTCAGGCATTAATGTATGAAATTAAAATTTTAAACAAACTTTTTTTATGATGACATATTGTAGTGTAATCAGCAGTGCATATATGAATTTTAGTGGAATTCGTTCATAGGCCAAGGCAAGACCAGTTTTAAATGAACATGCATTTACCCTTCCATTGTTGAAGGATTAGTCTCTGAGCAAAAAGAAAAGAATGTGGGATTAATTTGTTCAGCTATTATTTTCCATTTAACGGTTTTGTAATTCAAAAATATGTACAACTAAAAATATTAAATGTTATCTCATAGTCAACATAATACAAAGCACAAATTAACACATAAGATGTGAAAAAATATATTCCATTGAAGCATTATTCTCTTTATATCCACAATAATATGAGAATTTACTCTTTTCCAGTAAAAATACAGTTTTATCTAATAAAAATAGTCTATGATCCCTTAAAATTTTTAATTTGGGTATTCTGATTGATTTCCATAGTTTAGATAAAATAGGGTTCTCCAATTTTTTATTCAATCCATTACTTAAAATACCATATCAAATTTATCTATTAGTACAAAGTATTTCTACAAACCTAGTTGTCTCTGAAGCTGCAAATATTTCTAGTCCAAACTGGAATGGCACTTAAGAGTCAATAGTAATCTCCTCATTTAACAAATAAACAGAGGGGACAGGAAACAGTTTTATTTGATTTTGATTTTCAAACAACACCCTCTGTGCATAATGAAGGACCTCAGGCTTAACTATATGTTATGAGAGTGATGTATGTTTTTGCATTAAAAAATAATTGCTATCCTGTATGAACATCAATTGTGCTCTGTATATTCTGTACTGATAGAAAGTTTGGAAAAGATATTGGAAAAATATCTTCTTTTTTCTTTTTCCAGATATGGATGTCTGCATGAAATGTCCAGAAAATGAATATCCCAACAATATCCAAAATCAATGTATCCCCAAAGTGCTTACATATTTCTCTTATAATGAATCTTTAGGAATCCTCTTTATTACAATGGCTATTTTTTTCTCTTTGATTACAGTCTTTGTGCTTGGAATCTTTTGGATGCATCAAGAGACTCCAATTGTCAAAGCCAACAATTGGAGCCTCACTTGTGTCCTCCTCCTCTCCCTTCTTCTCTGCTTCTTCTGCTCCTTTCTCTTCATAGGACGCCCTGAAAAGATGACCTGTCTTCTCCGGCAAATGACTTTTGGTATTATCTTCTCAGTGGCTCTTTCGTCTGTTTTGGCAAAAACCATGACTGTGATTATGGCATTTGTGGCAACCAAACCAGGATCCAAAATGAGGAAGTGGATAGGGAAAGGATTGGCTAATTCTATTGTTCTTTTGGGTTCCTTCATCCAGGTGGGAATTTGCAGTGTTTGGCTGAGTACCTCTCCCCCTTTCCCAGATACAGACCTGCACTCATTGAAGGGAGAAATCATAATGGATTGCAATGAGGGCTCAGTGATTATGTTTTACTGTGTCCTGGGTTACATGGGCTTCCTGGCTAGTGTCAGCTTTAACATTGCTTTCCAAGCCAGGAAGCTGCCCAGCAGTTTTAACGAGGCTAAGTTTATAACTTTCAGCATGTTGGTCTTTTGCAGTGTTTGGTTGTCATTTGTTCCAACGTACCTGAGCACCAAAGGGAAATACATGGTAGCTGTGGAGATCTTTTCTATCTTATCCTCCAGTGCTGGTTTACTGGGATGTATATTTTCCCCCAAATGTTATATCATTTTACTGAGACCTGAGATGAACAAAAAGGAACATTTAATAAGGAAAAAAACATAACTGGCTTTTTGTATTCAGATTAATGAAACTGTTTATATTATTTGTAAAGTGTTCTTTTCTGGGGATTTTTTGTATATTAATCCTTGCAGGAATTTGGAAGGATATCCAAGACTTTGATTTAACTTCATTCATATACAAAACTTGATATGAAGAAAAGAAATTTTTAAAAGTAGATCTGTTTCAAGATCAAAAAATGGATGTGTCCTATCCAATTTGATGTGAATGATGATTAAATTTTATTAACATATGTCCATATATGCCCAATTCTGAAAGAGTTGTCATATACAAATGTGAAGTTTTACAAGGTTGTGAATGGTCCTATTGCAGGGATCCCCAACCCCCAGGCTGTGGACCAGTACTGGGCTGCGGCATGCTAGCAACTGGGCTGCACAAACAAGCAAAGCCCCATTTGCAGGATGCAGGCAGAACATAAAATCACGCCCCCTACAAATCTCTCTCCGCATAATGGGTCCCTGGTGCCCAAAAGGTTGGTCCTATTGTCCTATTGGATATTAAAGGAAAAGTTTAATTTGGAGTGCATTGAAGTTTTATATGCTTTTCATAGTGATTCATTAGTGGGATAGTTTATGGGCCTGGTTCCTTCTTGGGCTGCATATCCATGCCCTTTTTTCCATATAATATTCAATTTTTGAAATAAAGTCTCAGTCCAAGCACAGATATTAATTTTAACTAAATCATATGCTGCTTCAAAGTAGTCTCAACTACATTTGTATATTGTAAGCGCTGTATCATAGGCTTGTTAGTGGAAAAGATGTTTGATGCCTACCTGGGAAAAATGAATAACCAAATTTTGGGATTATGCTTTGAGGTTTAAAATTTCTATGAGTTAACAATCTACTTAAAATCAAAATATGCTTTGCTGTTCAAAATAAGCATGTATTAAAAATCTATTTCAAATATATTTAAATTGGCATTAAATTAAAGAAAAAAGACACACTTTCATTGGAATGTACTTTGTTTACTTTCAAACAGGGCAATATATAATAACAAAGTTCAATTTTAATCTCCTTGACATCAAAACTAAAAGGAAAACTTCTGTTTTCAGTTTCATATTTATTTTAAAATTCTTCTGTATTAGGATACATCTGATCCCATATTTATGGATTTGGTTTCTCTTGATTAAGTATATAAACTTAATTTTGTTACCATGGAGTTGCATCCAGTGTTCATCTGTGTCATTGTCTTTCTGAATCTTGAATCTATCAACTATTAGCTATTCCCCCATCTTGGTGTTTTCTGCAGATTTGATGAGTTTCCGTTCTATCCTCTCATCTAGATCATTTATGTTGAAGTGTACTGGGCCTAAAACAGAATTTGAATTGCATATTATTTCAAAACAACAATGTTAAAACATGGAATGAAATTACAGATATGTTAAGATGGAAGACACTACATGTGGTATTGCTGGGAAGAATTGCTACAATAAAAATGAATGGTTTGCTTAGTACAATGTTCATTTTTATCATTACTACCTATTTATTGTGCCTGAAATGCAACTTTTATATTTCTTAGGAAATTTGATGAAAAACTGGGTTATGGCACTTTCATGGCATCAAAAGTCAAAGCACTTAACCTTCTCTGAGACAGGGAAAGGAGACTTAATAACAAGGCCACATATTACATAAAAGAATAATCTTTGGAAATAGATGCAAAATAACCTTTCTGTCAATGAGTCATAACTGTTTTTGTCCAACGCTTGTCAAGGCAGGAACAAGTGTTGCTTTCTTTCAGTCCCTTCAAACAGTCATCTGAACTGTCACTGAGCTCTCTCTTTGTAACTAGCAGTGGGACAAGACTTAGCAACCCCTTTGAAGAAGTTAAGCCAATTAAGTGTGAAGGACATTTCAGTGTTTCCTCCACCTCTTCCTGCTGCCCTTGATCATCTGCAGCCTGAGATGTCTGCCTTTTAGAGAACAGTAGAACTGGTTCTATGGTCTTCTTTGAATTTCATGGTGAAATTATAGCTTTTAGTACACAAGAACTGAAGAAAGCTGGTAGATACTGTCATGTTATAAATTTAAATTGATAGGTTGCTGGGGGATTTTTGCAGTTCTGTGCCTAAGTCCTATCAAGACATCCTTGCTTTGGCCCTCTGTTATTTCTGTGTGAAATCAGAGCACATGGTGAAGAACTCTTATTTAAAAGCACGGGAGAGGAGAAAGACCCTCAAGCCACAGTGCTAAACAATGCTTCCCTGAATGCAAACCCCAAAGCCAGGGAAATGATAACAACCCGTCTCACAAGAGGTTGGTCTATTGATTATGAGCTTCACAGGTTGGCTGGAATGGAAATTATTTTAAAGGGAACTAATATTTTGACACTTCAAAATTATGCCCCAACTGAGGATAAAGTAGTGTTTTATAAACCATCTATAAAAATTGACAGATTTTCTTATGAAAGTTGGTGTTTGATGGGGGATTGGAATGTAGTGATCACCCACAATTGGGTAGAACTTCTCAGATAAATATTAAAATCACTCAAAGCAAATTACCAAAAGATTTCTTTGATTCTGATAGGCAATCTAGGGTTGGTTGATGTATTTATGAAAATTAATCTTTTACCTAGTATACTGTTTTAATCACTGCTATCGATTTATTGTATATGAAGTTTGATTTGTCTATCTGTCAGGAAATTTGATTTAAAAAAAGGCTTATGGCACTTTCATGGTATATAAAAAAATCAAAGCAAATTGCTGGGTGCTCCATTACTGGAGGTTTTAAAGAAGAGACTAGATAGTCACTTATTTGAAATGGTATAGATTCTCCTGCTTGAGCAGGGAGCTGGACTAGAAGACCTCCAATGTCCCTTCTAGCTGTATTGTATTCTAATTCTAAATGCACCTTTCGAGCCCTTTTCTCAGGAGAGATGTGCAAAATATTGATAATTGGAGAGGACTTGATTATTCCCCCAGTGGTCCAAATTACAGGTTCCTTATTGAACTCAATTTTCAGAAAGTCGATCTATTGCAAGTGCTTTTACCTATCTTCAGAATATAATTTGTTGATCAGGGTGTAGAGAGCTATCATTTGAAGCATTGCTATTCTAATCCTCATTTCATATTCTAAACTGTTTTATCTCTCTTTCATTCTCAATAGTTTCTGTATTTTTTTCTCTTTTTTCCCTGCCCCTCTTCTTATTTCTTCTTCTAATGTTCATAAATAGGAGGATGTACTTTGGAAGACACACACTGAGAATTCTTCTCCCTGTGCACTGATTGCTCAGATCACTTTTAGATAAAGGAGTTTATGTTTACCATGTTGACAGATCATGGAAGAAACCTGAATAAATGGAAGCTTTATTGACTTTAAGACTGGTTGTCCACGAAGAATTATATTAATCTAATTTAAACATAATGAGAAAATTGTCTCATGTTTAGCTTTCAAAGAAAGAAATGAAGATCTGAAGGTAGCTTCTCAATTATAATTTTATTTTTTTAAAAAAGTGGCATTAATTCACAGCGCATTAAAAAAGCAGAAAGCAGCATAGACAATCCAAAACTGAAATCTGTTTGAAGAAAATATTGTAATACTATAGTACTTAGAGACTGTATACAGTATGTAAGGATAATGAAAAAATGCATTTTATTTTCATGGTGTCACAATAGGATATTTTTCTGCATAGGGACATCTATCTTTCTCTCAATGGAAATTGTCAACAATTGGATGGGGTTTATAGCAATGACGCTTCTTGTGTTCCTGTTCTGTATTATATGCAAAACATATGCTATCAATTGTAGCATACCTGATGACCCACTTCCTATACCCCATCACTTTGCTCAGCCAGGAAATGTTATCTTTGGGGCAATTGTCTCTCAAGCCTTCTTTTTTCACAACAGCCCTTCCTTCACAGAAGATCCTGCTCAGGCGTTGATCAATGAAGTGATGTAAGCAATTCTATTTTTCCCCTATCACACTAGTAAGTGCAAAATAATTGAGGAGAAAAAAGTTAAGCAGCAGGATTATAATAATAAGTCTTTGAAAATTTTCATACCTATAATGTCATTGGGAATTTGCTGTTAATTAGTTTTCTCTCTTTTGAAGTGTAAGAAGATGGCTACTAAGTTAAAACTCCATGTGCCTTCACACACTGCATCAAATCCATATACAGTTCTTCTGATGTTCACTTCATGATTCAAAACCATAGTAATTTGTCAGAAAGTTAGGCTAATAATAGCAGTGCTTCTACCTATTTTTAAAGTATCATTTCTTGAATAGTATATAGAGAAATGTCATTTGAAGCCTTTTTATTCTAATCCTCATATAATATTCTGGTATTACCATTGATAGGAGTAAAACACAAACAGTTATGCTCTTTACCATTTGGAGAGCATGAAGGGAAAGTAAATACATGGAAACTTTATTAGCTCTAAGATATCGTAACCCGTGCAAAACCTTATTTAGTTTAAAGAAAATGAGGAAAAGCATCTCACTTTTCTCTTCCAAAAAAGAAATAAAGATCACAGCTTCTGAAATACAAACCCCTTTCCCCCAATGGTATTAGTTCAAAGAGCATTAAAGAATTGAAAGAAGGTGGAATTATAAACAAACCAAACACACAGACTGAAATTTCACATTGAAAAAAGAAAAAGGAATCTGTTTGAGAAAACATTTCAATACTGTGATAACTGTCTTAAAGGCCCTAGGAAAATTTTATCCATGGGAAACTCTATGTTTCCTTGGATGGGAATTTTCAACAATGATGATGATGATAACAGAATAAGAGAATGGAAAGGGATCTTCAAGTTCTATCCCTGTACAATTTCAGACAAATAGTTGTCCAATCTCTTCTTATTGTGTTGAAGCACAATAACCTCTGGAGTAAGTTGTTGTGGAGCATCCATTGATTAATTGTTGCCACTATCAAGAAATTTCTCCTTAGTTCTAGTTTGGTTCTCTCCATGATTAGTTTCCATGCATTGGTTCTTGTCCTGTTTTCAGGTGCTTTGGAGAATAGCTTGATTCCCTCTTCTATGTGGCAAC